ACAAGCGCCGCCATCCTTAGGTCCGGAGACAATCAAAGGTCCGAGTCTCTGCCGGCGGCGCAAGACTTTCTGCGTTACTGGAGCTTGGCGGACAAGGCCATGACGAATACCTACGCAGATGCTGTGAGCACTGGCTTCAGCCTGACCCCTGCCGCGACACGGAGCTTCTTGAAGGATGCCAACAGCGCGTTCCAGACGAGGCCGGTCGAGATCCTCCAGGCGGCTCTCCTCGTTTCCTTCATACAGGCGTTCCCCGACCGGCCACCTCCTGTCGTCCACAACGAAGGCCATGGCAGAGAGGCCTGGGACGCGTCCATCGACCTCTCGCGGACGGTCGGCTGGTTCACAACCATCTGGCCCACACCAGCGGTGGTACAGCCTGGGCAGAGCCTTGTCGAGGCAGTCAGACGCACCAAGGACGCGCGCCGCCAAATGCCACGTAATGGGTGGGAGTACTTTGCCGCCCAGCTCCTGCACCCCGAGGGCGCTCAAGGCCTAGCACTACCTCTCGAGATTGTGATGAACTTTGCGGGGTCTTTTCACGAGTTAGAGCGCCATGAGAATACCCTGTTTCAATGGCACGAGAGCCAATTTACGCACCTCGACGTAGCGGCCCAGACCCCCCGTTCCGAGCTCTTCGAAGTTTCAGCGGTAGTCAAGAAGGGTCAGTTGCATGTGCGCATAACCCACCATCGACACATCCCTCCGGACCGGGTGGCAAAATGGACCACGGCCTTCCAGGCCACGCTGGAGAATGCCTGCCACGTCCTACCCTCCCTCCCAAAGCAGCCCACGCTCACCGACGTCCCTCTCCTGGACATGGACTACCGTGGTCTAGACCGGATGCTCAAGCAGGTGACCGCCGTTGTCGACGTCGGCGGCAGCGGCAGCGGCAGCGGCAACAGCAGCGGTAGCGCCCCGGTCGAGATCGAGGACGCCTATCCATGCACTGGCATTCAACAAGGCATGCTGCTCAGCCAGGCCAAGAACGCGGCCCATTACGTGACGGGCACAACCTGGGAGGTCCGGGCCCCGGGAGGTGTCGATCGCCGTCGCTTTATCGAGGCGTGGCAACAAGTGGTCCAGCGGAATTCGGCCCTGCGTACCTTGTTTCTGGAAAGCCATACGGGCCAGGGCTGGGACCAAGTCGTTCTGCGCTGGGCCGGTACACCACCACGTGCAGGCAAGGTCGTCGTCCTCCAAGGGCATAGCCCATCAACTCGCAATGACCCCATGGCCGAGATGGCCAGGGAGGTCGGGCCCATCACGCCGACTTGCCCCTGGCACCTTGTCATCCGCAATGCCAACAAGGGAGGTGGTGATGATGATGATGATGATGATGAAGGTGGCCTGACGTGCGACTTTCGAGTTCTCCATGCCCTCGTGGACGGCGTCTCCGTCGGCCTGATCCAGCAGCAGATCGCCGCAGCCTACCATGGTCAGCTGCCCCCGTCACCAGCAGCCTGCCTACGAGATTACAGCGCCTACGTGCAGTCGCTCCCGCGTGGCGCCTCCACTCGCTACTGGGCCGACTATCTCGCAGAAGCAGAACCCTGCATGGTGCCCACCATCAGCCGCGACACGGGAGAAGTTGAACTTGATACGGGTGTCAAGTATGTCTTCCGGACCCTCCACAGCCTCGTAGAGCTGCGCGCCTTCTGCGAAAAGCACCACGTCACCGTCTTCAATCTCGTCCAACTTGCGTGGGCGCTGGTTCTGAAAGCTTACACCGGGGCCGCGGCGCCCTGCTTCGGGTACCTGGTCAGTGGCCGCAATGTGCCGGTTCCCGACGTGGAGCAGATCGTCGGGCCCTTTATCAACATGGTGGTTTGCAGGGTCGACTTGGGGGAGGGCAACAGGCCCATTGCCGAGATGGCCCAATCGATCCATTCGGATTTCCTTCAGGGGATGGACCATCAGCACACGGCCCTCGTCGACGTTTTCCACGAATTGGGCGTGACCGGTCGAGGGCTGTTTAATACCATCGTGTCGCTCCAGACGAGAACAGAGGACATAGGAGGAGTGAAAGAGCAAGATGCGCCTTCGGGTCTGTCCATGCGTCCCACTACGGGTGACGACCCGACAGAGGTAAGCAGTCCCGATTCTGAACCCAGTTGGTGTGATGCTGCTCCCGAAGCATGACATGTGGGCACGCGTGGCAAGAAACTGACAATACTGAAACTGACAATACTGACAATGATTGCGTGCATGATAGTACGACCTCACCCTGAATATCAGCCTGTCCAAAGATAGCATGGACTACGCCCTGTGGTACTACGAGCAGTCGTTCCCTCGGACACAAGTAGCACATCTTGCCGAGGCTTTCGAGAACGCCTTGCTGGGTGCGGTTCGCCAGCAGCAGGAAAACGCTCGCGTCCGAGACATCGCCCTCGTGGGCCCCGATCACCTGAAGTGGTTGCGTTCGCGCAACGAGGTGCTCCCCGAGGCGAAAAAGGAGTGCATCCACGATGCCATCTTGCACTTTGTTCGTGCCACACCCTTGGCGCCGGCCGTCTGCGCGTGGGATGGAAACTTTAGCTACGGAGAGCTGGGCCGGCTGGCTTCCCTGCTCGCCGGGGTTCTGGTCCAAAGGGGCGTTCGGCGTGAGGCCTTGGTGGCGATTCATCTGGCCAAGAGCCGATGGACGGCCGTGGCGATGTTGGCCGTGCTACAGGCTGGTGGTGCCTTCACGCTGCTGGACCCGTCTCTTCCGCTGGCGCATAAACAGGTTATCTGTGACGAGACGGCCTGCTTGGTCTTGATTACTTCGCCGGCTTCGCACCATGCCTTGCCGTCTGTTCGCCATACCATTCCGGTTGGTGACAACCAGGAAGACGACTGGGCCACGATATCAACCCGCGAGGCCGAGGCCGAGACGCAGTGCCTTGAGGCGGCGCGACCCGAGACCCTCGCGTATGCCGTCTTCACCTCGGGGTCGATGGGCAAGCCCAAAGGCGTGCTGATCGAGCATGCGTCCTTCTGCGCCAGCGCCCGGTCCCAACACCGCCTCCTGGCTATCGACGGTACAACCAGGGTTCTCCAATTCTCGGCCTACACATGGGACGTCAGTATTATGGATCAACTGGGGACTTTCATGATAGGCGGGTGCGTCTGCGTCCCCTCGGAGAGCCAGCGGATCGACGAGCTGGCAGGGGCGATCCGGCAGTACGGCGCGACGTGGATCCAGACGACGCCGCCCGTGGTACGACTACTCAAGCCCGACCAGGTACCGTCGTTGCGGACTGTGGTACTCATTGGAGAGACACCTTCGCACAACGACGTCAAGACGTGGCGCGGGCGGGTGTCGCTCCGCGAGACGTACGGGCCTACCGAGTGCTCGGTCTTGGCCATGGTCAACCCGGACCTTGCTGGCGACCCTCGGAACATTGGACGGGAGAGTGCCTGCGTGTGCTGGGTCGTGGATGCGGATAATCACGACAAGCTGATGCCCGTCGGCGCCATTGGCGAACTTCTCATCCAAGGGCCCATTCTCGGCCGGGGCTACTTGAACGACGCCGCTCTGACGGCCTCGGTCTTTGTGCAGGATCCCGTCTGGACGACTCTGCAGCGTCCAGGCCCAGGCCCAGGCCCAGGTCCTGTCCGGCTATATAAGACGGGTGACCTCGTGCACTACTGCCATGACGGCTCCATCCGCTACGTGCGCCGCAAGGACACGCAGGTCAAGCTGCGGGGCCAGCGCATGGAGCCTGGGGAGATCCAGCATCACATCGCCGGCAGTTTCGAGGGCGCCGAACGCGTTGTGGCGGATGTGGTCGAGGTCGGCGGCGGCACCGGCACCGAGCCGTCCCGCACGGTGCTGGCAGCCTTTATCAAGGACTCTGACTACGCTTCCCACTCCCATAGCAACGCCGACGCCGCGGCGCATCCGTCCCCGGACGTCCTAGCTGCTCCTACCGAGGCCTTTGCCGCCAAGGTGGCACAATGCCAGACATATCTTGAGACGCAGCTGCCCAAGCACATGGTACCTACGCTGTTCCTCCCTTTGGCTTGGGTGCCCATGGCCAGCACAGGCAAAACGGACCGCCGCCTGCTCCGGCGGCGAGTGGCGGAACTGAGCCGGGACGACGTCGCGCAATACCTCACCACGGGTCTTTCGATGACGGTGGCCAAGCAAGCGCCCACTACGGACCCCGAGCGCATGCTGCGGGACGCATGGAGCCGGGTCTTGGGGATCCCGGCCGAGGCCATCGGCATCCACGACAGCTTTTTCCACCTGGGTGGCGATTCCATGTCGGGCATGCGGCTCGTCGCGGACTGCTACGCGGCGGGGGTTGTCATCACGATGCAGGGCATCTTCCAATACCCAACGCTCCAGCAGATGGCGCAGCACAGCAAGATTGATTCCATGTACCATGGCCATAAGGGCCATACCTTCTTCCCCTTGTCCACGGCACAGCGATCTCTGCTAGAGAGCTGCCTTTCCACCAACGGCGCACATTCACAACACTACCGTAGCTTTGTCGTCAAAGGCCGCCGGCCGGAGCTGGATGCAGACTGGCTCGACCGCGCCATGCGAGCCCTGGTTAGCCGCCATGCCATGTTGCGTGCCCGATTTGAGCCCGTGGGCCCGGGTCAAGACATGTGGCAACAGCGCATCACCACCGACATACAAGGTTCATACCGCGTGCGCGTGCAATCCGTCTCGATTTCGAACAAGCGCGAGCTTGATCTCGAACGGCAGCGAGGACCTAGCAGGCTCGACTTTGGCAAAGGCCCTCTTCTAGAGGCTTGTCTGCTCCACTCCCAGCCAGGTGGGGATTTACCCCATGGCAGCTATATTGTCTTCTTCTGTCATCGACTCGTCGCGGATGGGGCCTCTTGCAGCATCTTGGCCGACGACATGGTGGCCATGCTCGAGCAGGATATCCCGACCGCCGTTCCAAACCCAGCACCGGCAGCTTTCCAAACGTGGTGCAGCATGCCGCGCATCAATGTTCATCTCAGTCCCAATCCAAATTGTGACTCTACCAGGTATAGGATCACAGCAAATGGTATCAACAATAACGGAGATGTGGCTCGCACACGCCGAGAAGCCCGCCTCGACGCGCCAACCAGCCGCCTCATCAGGGGGGATGCCAACCGCGCCTTGTCAACACAGCCTCTGGACATTCTGCACGCCGCCCTCCATCACTCCTTCTTCCAGACGTTCGGGCCACTTGAAAATCACCCCACCATCGTCGCCCAAGGCGACGGCCGCGATTTCGGGGACGCCTCCTTGGACTTTTCGCACGCTGTCGGTTGTTTCGATACCTTCTCAGCCGTACAACCTGACGCAAACCATCTTCACAGCCTGGTCGATCTGGTCCGTCTCGCCAAGGACGCTCGGAGACTACCTCGAATGAGTCAAGCCGATGCCGATCCGTGCTCTGCAACAGCGCTTGATGGCGAATCCTCGGCCCCAGGACCTCTCATGGTAGCCCTGAGCTTCGAGGCATGGGGACATGGAGACCAGCAAGACCATAAACCAGCTGTGCAGATACCATTTGCTGCCCTCATTGAAGTTTCTTGTTGTGTGGACCAAGGCGAGCTTGCCGTTTCCTTCACGTACAATGGACAAATGCACAATGATGAGTCGATGACCGAGTGGCTCAGCAAGTACCAGAAGTCCCTCGCTTCAGCGGCGGCTGAACTGGCCTCTAGAGCACCTGCCTACACCCTGAGTGACTTCCCCCTTCTCCAGCTCCCGTACGAAACCCTCGGCAGCTTCGTGGCCGAGGTGGAGGGCCTAGCTAGGTCACAGGGCAGCCGAGGTCCCATCGCCATCGAGGACGCATACCCTTGCGCGCCGATCCAGCGCGGCATACTCCTGAGTCAATCCAAGAATGGCCTTCTCTACCGGCCTCGATTCCTCTGGAGACTTCATGCGACCCGAGCGGCGGCAACAATAGAGCTGCCTCGCCTCCGAAAGGCATGGGAAACCGTCCTACAGCGACACGCCGTGTTCAGAACCGTGTTCGCGCAGCAGGGCAGCGCCCGCGACGGCTTCTATAGCCAGGCCGTCCTGCGGTCAACACCCGAAAACATCACCGAGATACAATGTGATGATCGAGACGATCCTGCCAGCCTGATTCGCAATATCCAATCGCGACATGAGCATGAGGCCTGGCATGTGGTTTTGTGCCAGGCGAAGAAAACGGGCGACACGGTGAACAACACCTTCTGCGAGCTGCAAGTGAACCACGCCTTGATCGACGGGACTTCCATTGCCATTGTGGCGAGCGAGGTCCAGCGCATATACGCTGGCGTGGGTCCAATCGGAGGTGCACCTCGCTATCGTGGCTATATCGAATATCTGCAGTCAACGCCGTCCGATACCATACTCGCCCATTGGAAACAGAGGCTCTCGGGGGTTTCGCCCTCCTTGTTCCCCAAGATCTGCGGCACTCGGGAGGACAACACCTCGCTCGAGCAGAACAAGCGAGTTCTGAAAGGTGTCCATGTTGAGCTTGAGGACGCATCGCTCGTGCACCAATTTTGTGCTCGGCACGAGCTAAATGTCTCGACCGTCATGTACGTCGCCTGGGCGCTGGTCCTCCGGTCCTATACTCAGTCTGACGCGGCTTGCTTTGCCTACACGACGTCTGGGCGCGACGTGCCTGTTCCAGGAGCGGCCGAGACTGTTGGTCCTTTCGTCAATGTCCTAATCGGCCGTGTTCAATTGCTTGCCGAGACGAGACTCCTGGACGTCCTGCGAACGGTGCAGGATGACACCCTGGACAATCTCAGCTACCAGAATTGCTCGCTGGCCGAGATTGGTCACGCTATTGCCGTTGACACGGCTGAGCTGTTCAACTCTAGCATATCCGTGCAAGATAGCAGCACTCCGCACCACGACTCGCCGCCTGATCTGCCCGTGGTCTTCACCAGCGAGGGAGGGGCCGATCCCACCGAATACGCCCTCTCCTTGCATGCCTTGGTGAATAAGCAAACTGTCGAGGTCTCCATCGACTATTGGGAGGGTGAGTGCTTGTCGTCCGAACAAGCCGACCAAATCATCCGCACTTTCCGAGAAGCGATCAATACCGTCGTGACGCAGCCTCGGGCCACTGTTGCGCAAGCTAGCCTGCTGAGTCCCGAGGACGCGAACTTGATCAAGCAGTGGAATTCGAATACGCCGCCGAGGCATGAGCGCTGCGTACACCATCTTGTCGAAGAGCACTTCCGAGATAGTGCTTCCTCACTCGCCGTGCATTCTTGGGATGGAGACTTGACCTATGGAGAGCTAGCCCAGTTGTCCGGCCAGCTAGCAGCTCATCTCGTGGAGCTCGGAGCGCAACCCGAGACGTATATCCCGCTGGTCTTTGAAAAGTCCAAGTGGACCGTCGTGGCCATGATGGCCGTCATGCAGGCCGGGGCCGCCTTCATCCTCATGGACCCGACAACCCCGGTCCGGCGCCTAGAAGACATCTGCACCGACGCACAGCCCGCACTTGTGCTCGCCTCGGTCGCCCACCGAGACGTCTTGAAGCACCTGTCCGTACACACGATCGTCGTCGGTCCCACGAGCGAGACCACGTGGCCGTCCGCCCAGCCGCCTCCTGCCGTCCTTGTCCAGCCGTTCAACCCTGCATACGCCGTTTTCACCTCGGGATCTACCGGAAAGCCCAAGGGAATCATTATGGACCATGCCTCGTGCTGTTCGACGCTAGAGGCAAACAAGGGGCCGATGGGCGTCGACCGGAACACGCGGACGTTTCAGTTCTCCCACTACTCGTTTGACCTCAGCGTCACCGATCACCTGCTGGCCCTCACCCAGGGCGGCTGTGTGTGCATCCCCTCGGCCGCCCAGCTGCACGACATTGAACAGGCGATCCAGGACATGGGCGCCAACTGGGTTGAGCTCACGCCCTCGGTCGCCCGGCTGATCAGCCCATCCCGTGTCCCCGCGTTGCGGACCGTGATCCTGTGCGGAGAGCCCATGGCCCCCATCGACAAGGCCCAGTGGGGGGGATACGCCCGCCTAGTCCACGCCTACGGGCCTGCCGAGTGTGGCTCATGGTGCATGGCGCAACCAGACGTGACGGCCAGGCCGGGCCCGCTTGACATTGGCACCGGCACGGGCGCGGTATGCTGGATCGTCGATCCCGCCGACCACCAGACTGTCCTCCCCTTGGGGGCCGTCGGCGAGATCCTTGTCGAGGGCCCAGCCGTGAGCCGCGGCTACCTGCGCCGGCCCGAACAGACCGAGGCCTCCTTTGTTCCGCCTCCAGCCTGGGTTGCTTCCCGCTTCCGGCCCGCAGTTTCGCACCGCTTCTACAAGACGGGTGACCTGGCCCGGTACCAACCCGACGGCACCATGTTGCACATGGGCCGGAAGGACACACAGGTCAAATTGCGCGGCCAACGTCTGGAGCTGGACGAGGTGGCCTTCCATGTGAGACAATGTCTACCGAAGCATGCTGACGCCGTTGTCGACCTGATTCATCCGGACGGCGGTGGCGCAAGGCCCATGCTGGCTGCCTTCATCTGCGCGCCGGATGACGGAAACAGCCGAGGGGGAGTTCGCCCCCAAACCCAAGCCCAAGCCAAAGACGATGACGATGTTCTCATGCCAGCGACGGCGGCCTTCCGGCGAATCGCCCTCGAGATTCAGACACAGCTGCGAGCGACGCTGCCCCGTTTCATGGTCCCGACAGCATTCCTGCCTCTGCGATGGATTCCCCTTGGCGTCACGGGGAAGCTGGACCGCAAGTGTCTCCGAGCTTTAGCTGCCCAAGTGACGTTAGATGCGCTGCTGCTCCAGGCTTACGACACCGAGGCCATGACGCCCTCGGTTGATAAAGCGCGTCCAACCAACGACCTCGAGGCATCGCTCCTGGAATGCGTGGCCCATATACTCAACATGAAGCCAGAAGAGGTCGGCATCCACGATAATTTCTTCCATCTTGGTGGGGACTCGATTGGCGCAATGGAGTTCGTGACACGCTGCCGCCACCAGGGCCTGACCATCACCATGCCCGACATTTTCCGACACAGGACAATCCATCGCATGGCACAGCGGGCCAAGAGAGTCGGAACCGGGGCAAGTGCAGTCAGAGACGAGGAGGAGGAGGAAGAAGAAGTCGGGGTGCAGTTCGGTCTGTCTCCGATCCAGCAGGCTTTCTTCGACCGTGTCCCCGAAGGCCGGCTTCGCTACAATCAAAGCTTCGTGGTCGAACTTCAGAGCTCCACGCAGCAGCCCATAGAGACGGCCATATCCACGGTAGTGAGGCGACATGCCATGCTGCGCGCCTCGTTCCGTCGGAGCGAGGCAGGCTTGTGGGTGCAAACAATCACCGACAGGATCGATCAGTCGTTCCGCTACAACACGTACCATAGCGCAAGCGTATCCAGCGCGGAACTGGGCGAGGAACTAAAACATCGCCTCGAGGAGAGCCAGGCAGCAGTGGATTGCCAAAACGGCCCAATGCTGGCAGTGGACCACATCCTTGTCGACGACGGTCGCCAGTATCTCTCGCTTATCGCCCACCATCTTGCCGTGGATCTCGTCTCATGGCGAGTTATCATGAGCGATCTCGAAGTGTTGCTGCGAGGCGAGTCACTCCCGCCACTGCGTTGTCTGTCCTTCCCGAGCTGGTGCCATGCGCAGTCGGAACACGTCCGCACGAATCTGAAGCCTCTGGAGACGCTGCCGTCGTTGGAGAATCTTGCCGATTTCGAGGCTGATGTCGAGCACTTCTGGGGCTGCCCACAAGCCACCAACACCCACGCCGAAGCCATCTCAGCCAGCTTTGCACTGGACTCCCACACCACCACCCTTCTTCTCGGGCCGGCCAACGAGGCTCTGCGGACAAAGCCTGTAGAACTTATCCATGCTGCCATTCTTCTGTCCTTTGCCCGCGTCTTCCCAGGACGCCGACCACCTATCATCTATCAGGAAGGCCACGGCAGAGAGTCGTGGAGCCGATCTATCGATGTGTCCGAAACGGTTGGCTGGTTCACCACGCTTGTCCCCGTCCTCGTTCCTGTTGCATCCGACACGGGCTTGGTAGATGTGGTTCGGCGAACAAAGGACGCGCTACGTCAAACACCGGCGAATGGTTGGAGCTACTTCGCCGCCCGATACCTGCACCCAGAAGGTCGCCGTTTGCTTGATCTGAAGAGACCCGCCGAGATACTGCTCAACTACCATGGGGCATACCGCAGCCTGGAGAGAGAGGGGAATATTCTGCAAAGCACGTCAAGATTTGATGGTCTTAGCATCAGCACCGACCCCCAGATGCCGAGGGACGCCTTCTTCGTCATCGAAGCCTGGGTTTCCGCCGGCAGCATGCAATTCGAGTTCGCCTACAACCGGAATTGTCTTTATCAAGACTTGGTCAGCGAATGGCTGACGACCTGTCAAGATCTCCTGGGTGCAATCGCAGAGGAACTTGCATCAAGCACACCTCGTCAAATCACATCGGGTGATTTCCCACGACTCGGACTGACGCAACAGGAGATGGAGATGCTTTTGCAGCACGTCGCTCACCTGGGCATCGCAGCGTCATGTCTGCAGGACGCATACCCATGCTCACCCATGCAGCAGGGGATATTGCTGAGCCAGGCAAGAAACGAAGCGCTGTACGAGACCACTACAAGGTGGAAGATGACGAGTCAGGGGGTCGACAACCACCTGACTGCTGGCCGCATCAAGGCGGCCTGGGAGTTGGTGGTGACCAAGCACGCCGCACTGCGCACCATAATCATCGAAAGCCCCTCCCGTCATCGTTCCTACGACCAGATCGTGCTCGAGGGCGACAACATCACCGGAAACATTACCACCACAAGCTTCTCTGGCTCACAAGTAGAAAAGCAGGGACCTCTCCCTTGGTCATTTGTGCTAACCCAGACTTCGGATGCCGGCGATTTCGAATGCGCCCTCACCATCAGCCACGCCCTAGTCGACGGCCGCTCGCTCCAGCTACTGGGCGCCGAGCTCACCGCGGCGGTCAATGGGAGCCCTCTATTAGACGGCAGCCCTGAACCTCTGCAATATGGCGAGTACATTTCGTATCTGAGCGATGAGGCCCCCAGGGAGGAAGATACCGACCGCTATTGGCGGCAGTACCTGCAGGATGCCACGCCATGCCGATTTCCCAAGCTGAGCGGCGGCGGCGGCGGCGGCGGCGGCCCATCGTCCCGGGGACAGGGCCAGTTGCATTCAGCCACCCGGCAGATTCCTTCCGGCCGTCTACAACGGCTATGTGAAGAATATGGGACCACGCCTTTCAACGTCATCCAAGTGGCATGGGCGCTCGTGCTGCGATGTTATGTGGGCTCCGACGACGTCTGTTTCGGATACCTGGCGTCCGGACGAGATATTGCCCTCCCCGGCATCGAGGATGCCGTAGGGCTGTTTATCAACATGCTGGTTTGCCGGCTCCGGTTGGACGACGAAAGCCTCCCCGTCGGGACGTTGCTGGGAAGGAATCAAGAAAGCTTTGTTCGCGGTTTGGAGAACCAGCAGTGTTCTATGGCTAGGATCCAGCATGATCTGGGCCTCCGGGGTGATGTTCTTTTTAACTCTATCATATCGTACCAGGCTCGTTCCGGTGCAGATGGTAATGCGGTGGCGTCGGACTTGAATGGCCGCAAGGACCGCAAGGACAGCGGCCACCACGCTGCGAGGTTAGAGACGGTCGACATCGACGACCCGACCGAGGTAAGGATCTGTTTTGGGTTTGGTGTGATTTTGGGAGGACTGTGAACTTGGCTAATAAGGCATTAAATTGTAGTATGGTCTAGTTCTCAACGTCGAGGCGGCCAAAGACATCATCAGCCTGTCTGTCAGCTTCTGGGACACCTATCTCGATCCCCATCAAGGGTCTGCGCTCTGCGGATTCTTGGTACAGACCATCCTGCATATGGCCGACAATCCTTTCGCCACGGTCGCGGGCTTTAAGACGCTAAGCGACGAGGATCGCGAGCAGATCCACGCGTGGAACGGGCATTTCCCGCAGGCAGAGCGGGCCTGTGTCCACCAGTATATACTGGAGCAATGCCGAACGCGATCCGAGGCCCAGGCGATATGCGCTTGGGACGGCGGCCTCACCTACTGCGAGCTGGACACCCTATCTGCGGCTTTTGCCATGCATCTGCAGGCGCTCGGGGTTCAGGGGCCGGACGTCTTCGTGCCCATCCTGCTCGACAAGTCGCTGTGGGTAGGCGTCGCCTTGTTGGCCGTCTTGCGTGCCGGCGGCGCCTTCGTGCTGCTCGACCCGGCCCTGCCCGACCTGCGCCTGCAGTCCATCTGTGAGACACTGGGGTGCCAGGTCATCGTCTGCTCACCTGCCGACCACGATAGGGTAGCCAAGTTGGGGCCCCGAGCGGTGGCGGCTGTTTCCCACTCGGAGTCTGAACGGTGGCCAACGCCAACGCCAGGCCTGCCCACACACCAGGCGGAGCCGGGCCATGCAGCTTACGCCGTCTTCACATCGGGCTCCACGGGGAAACCAAAGGGGGTCGTCATCGAACACACGCACTACGCGACCAGCGGCCGGTCCCTCCAGAAACGCCTCGGCGTTTCCCCACAAGCTCGCGTGTTCCAATTCGCCTCGCATTCCTTCGACGTCAGTGTCAGCGACTACCTCACCACCCTCATGGCCGGCGGCTGCGTCTGCGTGCCCTCCGAGGCCGACAGACTCAACGATATACCCGGCGCCGTCGCGCGTCTCGAAGCCAACTGGATGCACATCACGCCCTCGGTCGCACGCACGCTCCAGCCGTCGCAGGTCCCGGGCATCGATACCCTCGTACTCAGTGGCGAGGTCCTCCAGGACGATAACGTGCGGACGTGGGCACCCGTCGTCCATCTCATCAACGCTTACGGGCCCGCCGAGTGCTCTGTGGACTGCGTCGTCAACGACGAGGTTGCTTTGTACCCCGAGAGCATTGGAACAGCCAGTGGCGCTGTTTGTTGGATCGCCCATGTCGACAACCCGGACCGGCTGCTTCCCATCGGCGCCGTCGGTGAACTCCTCGTCGAGGGCCCCATCGTAGGGCGGGGGTATCTGAAGGAGGAGGAGTCGACCCGCCAAGCATTCATCACGCCGCCGGCCTGGCTTCAGCGGCTGCGTGGACCCCACGCGACGGCGAGAAGCAGGCTATACCGCACCGGCGACTTGGTTCAGTACCTCCCCAGCGGTGCATTACGGTACATTGGCCGGCATGACACCCAAGCGAAGATCAACGGCCAGCGTGTGGAGCTCGGCGAGATCGAGTCTCATCTCGGCCGGCTCTTCTCAGATTCGCAGGGTGTGGCTGTGGCACTACTCCAGCAGCCACCGCCCTCCTCGTCACAACAACAAGCGGTACAAGCATTGACGGCCTTTATACAATGGGGCCCGGGAGATGAAGCTTGCAATGACCTCGACACGGAATGCCGCATTCTGGAATCGAGTCCTGGTTTCTTGTCCAGCATCCGCGATGCTACGTCCCGTCTTCGGGAGTGGCTGCCCTCCTACATGGTGCCGGTACGGTTCCTCGCTGTCAATCGCATTCCCTTGAGCCGATCAGGCAAGGTCGACAGGAAAAAACTAGGGAACCTGTCATTGATCACCACCACCGCCTCGTCGTCGAGAGAGCAAGCACCCGGGCATGGTGACGATGTCCAGAAGAGTTCTCCGAGGTCCCTGTCAGACGCAGAACAGCAGATCCAAAGGCTATGTGCTGAGGTGCTGGGCCTCGTTCCTAGTACGATCGACATGGACAGTGACTTCTTCCACATTGGAGGAGACTCGATCAAGGCCATGCAATTCGTGTCTCTTGCCCGACGAGAGGGACTGTCAATAACTGTGAGGCAGATACTGCTTTCCACCGCTCTTTCGGAGCTGGCGAGGGCGCCATCGCCGTCTCCGTCCGGCTTTCATAATGGCTCGCCCCCGGATGAGGAGAACGTCGTCGGCGGCGACCGCACGGAACAAGCCTTGGACACCCGACTTTTGGGCTCCTTGTGCTGGCAAGACCTGGGCTTCCAGGAACAAGACGTGGAAGACATATTGCCCGCTCTTGATCTGCAGACCTTTTCTGCCTCCCGGCCGCAGAACTACTGGTTCGTGGAGCTCGTGGGACCCCTGGACGCGACGCAGCTGAAGCGGGCGTGCCTCGAGTTGGTTCAGCGCCACGCGATCCTGCGCACTGTCTTTGTGCTGCACAAGGATGGCAAGACGTTACAGGTGGTCTTACGTCGACTGCCTGCGTCTGTAGCCGTTGTGAAAGACCTCGAAACCGATGAGGCGGACTTGATGGCATTTGTCGTGGCCCAGAGCCGCAAGGACGCGAATTCCCAGAAACTGTACGGAACGCCGCCGTTGCGGATGACACTGGTTCGACGGCACCGCGAGCACCATGTGCTCACGCTGCGACTGTCGCATGCCCAGTACGATGGACTATCCATTCCTGTGCTCATAAAGGACCTGCTGGGGCTTTACGAGAAACGTGACGTCAGCACGGCGGCCATGTCCTTCGCGGCCTATACGCGCGATTGCGTATCACGCAATGTCACAGAAGGGGCACTGGCGCACTGGCGAGGGCTTCTGCACGGCGCCTCGATGACGAACTTATCGGAGCCAGGCCTGGTCGACGACCCTCACCCTCCGGCGGCCACAAGCTTGGTCGAAGTCACGACCAGCGTGCGACGACCTACACCGCCACCGGGCATCACCGACGCCACCATGGTCAAGACGGCGTGGGCGCTCGCCCAAGGCCGGGTGCTGCAGGGCCAGCGCGACCTCGTGTTTGGCCAACTCGTTAGCGGGCGCAATGGGGACCCCAGCCTGGCCGCCGTCGTGGGGCCCTGTCTAAATCTGTCGCCTGTGCGCGTGCGACTTCCGGACCACGACGACCATGACCATTCCTCCGTGGCATCGTTGATGCGCCGAGTCCAGGACCAGCACGCCACATCGGTCGACTTCGAGACAGTGCCTCTCAACATCGTGGCGGCCCGCTGCACGTCTTGGAAGGATCCGTCTATCGAGTTCGGCTCCGTTGTGCACCATCAGCACGCCCCCGGCCAGTTCCGCATGCGCTGTGGCGCGTTGGGTGCCCATGTGGATGCCTGGTCGCCTATATCACTGCCGGGGCGGAGCATCTGGCTGGCATCCAGCATCGTTGACGATGATGATGGTGATGATAACGCCCGCCAATTGCTCCGCCTGAATATGTTTTGTCGTAGCGAGGTTGCTTCGGGAGAACGGCTGGAAGAGCTGCTGGGCGTGCTTTGTGACGTGTTGCGTGCGCTGGATGGGGGTATCGACTTGCCTGTTACACAGCTGTTGTGATTCTAGAAAGGTGGAAAGTGTTGGAACCACAGCGGGCGGAATATCGCGATGATGGACGTCAAATAGAACCGCGTAATGGAGCACATTCGCGCTCCGTGTATGTGGGCAAGCAATTGCTTGATTGATTGAGTTGCTGTTGGGTGGAAGAACTGGCCCAGTTGGGCGACATGTGTACCTTGTTGATAGAAATCTTTGCATTCTTAAAACCGCTTTCTCTGTTTCTCAGAACTTACGGCCCGAATCTTCGAGCAATGTGCAATGATAACCCTATTCCGTTACCGAGACCGACGGCTCTAGGCGATTAATCGCCTTCATAACCGTTGCCTGGATCTGTTTCCACCTTCCAATGATGAGTTCCCGTTGCTCACTCTGGCCAACGGATGTTTCCCCAACGGCCGCAATCGTCTCCTCGGCCTTTTCCCATAGTTCGTGGAGAAGCTGCGCTAGTAGCTTATCAACTTTGTGCTGAGAGACTTGGCCACACTCTCCGGTCGTTTCGAGTATTGTATGGGATTCCTCCGGTGTGCAACAAAGCAGCCCAAGCGCAACCCGAGTTTTATGGCAAACTAAATTGTCTGCGTCTAACTTTATTGTGAATGGGCCGAGATAACATCTGCTCTCGAGCTGTGCTTTTTGCGCTGCATTTAACTTCGGCAGAATCACATCCTCAAGACATGCTTGATCCCACCGGTTTTCTTCCATCACGAACCCGTACTCGGCCAAGAGAAAATCGTTCGAATGGTCGCCGTAAGATAGATAAATTTCTTCGCCCGCGCGGTACGTGCGATTAGTACGGACTTCGTAGCAACCGCCAGGGGAGAATGAAACTCGGCATCCGTCGTCTGCGTGGTTGAAGAAGTCTTGTAATGGAACCAAAGCCAACCTATCATCCGGAGGATATGCTTCCATTTGCTCGGTGACGTAGTAAAATGCCCGAGTGTTGACGATGAACCAAGTGTATAAGAACTCTTCGAGTGACATCTTCGGAAATGCCGTCGATATTAACCCCCAATCTCTGGCAAACCTGGCCTGTTGTTGACGGATAATGTGTTTGGCTGGCCGTGGGAGCATGGCATGGAGCTCCTCGTGCCACATGAAAGGTAATGCATGCTTGAAATCGGACAGTGTCGGGAGCATGGATCTCCATGGTTCCAAGTCTTCTGATGTGTCAAGCGCCAGCTCTGCCGCGAGTAAAGCATGTATGGAGATGTCGCGAGGAAGTCTTTGCAATATAGTTCTGGGGATGGAATGTAAGCTGTGGATGGCTTCGGGGGGGACAACGAGGATTGTCTGTCCTTCCTTCCATTTCCACCCGCAGGTTAGATGCGGCGGCCCATTAGATAATTAATAGTGGGAGTTGAGACCCATACCTTAAGTCGACGCTGAGCTACCATTCCATTGCCTCGGCCGGGGATTTCCACGAAGCTTATTCCATTTTTGCGAATACCTTGGGCTTTTGCCCATCGTAACAAAGCCCTTCGTCTTTCCATCGCGGCTGTGTGTAATCTGGGTTGTTGAGTGAGGAACTCGAATAGCCCGAAATCCGGCCAATTAATTAGTTAATAATTTCCGGGGGAAGTTCCATGGTGCTTGACATAACCCCACTACCCGTGCGAGCCGCGCCCGTCCCACCTTGCGGAAAAACCTACGGAGATGACGTCGTGTTAGTACCTCTGCATACCTTCCGCCCTGATCCTTAACAATCGAGGGCATCTATGTCCCTTGGACGGAAAAGGCTCCGAAGTGTCAACTACAGATGCATTTACAAGTAATATGAGATGCGGAGGGTCATTGTAGGCATAACAGCGTATAAATTTACCGGGGCAAGCGACCAGTGTCATTTGTATTGAAGCCGGCGTTACGCCGTAATTATACCTAATCAAATCTACCTTGCTTGTCCGCTCTCATCCCATGTGAAGGATTTTTTGACATAATTTCGCCGACTGAATTCTTTCTGCGACGAAGGCAGTGCATGAGAGTTGCACAACTAGTCAATCGATCAAATTTTGTTTCGCGAGTTGGCATATTCGGCGCCTGTTCGGATTCTTTTCGAGGTGACGAAGGAACTCGGCTTGAGTACTTGGTTTAAAAGTAACCGTATTGTTCGAACCCTTGGAATCGGAGACCATGATGGAATTTGCATTAATTACCTGTTCTGCCAACCAAGTAAGCCGGGAGCCGGGGTGGCGCAGAATTGCGGGCGTACTCCTCGAATCAAGGGGTTCGCTTGACTGTGGCTGTACGCCTTGGGTCGAGGCCAGGGCCGTCAGGCCGCAGTTGACTCGGCCTGGTGAGCCCCTCAAACCACGGGTGCCTGCGAAATTCTCCTACAGCAATGAACAAGCTGCTTAACCTCAAAATGACAGCTGCTCCAGACTCCTGAATCGCAGTTTCGGCCGTCGATGGAGTCCCCCACGGATGTGGCCGCACTTTGGCAGGCTGCAGTCGAGGACTATGAAACCATCACGGGCGTTCAACTCCAGAATTTCGCCACCGTCAAACATATTGATGGTATCTTGGTCCAAGTTGGATTGAATGAGACAAATTTCAAACTCCATCGACATGGCGGTTCCAAGTTGGACAAGTTCCGGACCTTGGTGCAACGGAGCCTTGGCCCGATCGAGATGCTGAGCCATGTAGTCGCCCATGCGACTAAAGCTGTAGGCATCTCCAAATCATTCACAACTTACTGCTACTCCTGTGACTAATGCAGTGAACTAGACTTTTCCCCCAAGCGAAGCCCTCTTTTCTGCGATTAGTTATCTCATCAAGGTATGACCAACTCACAACTGTTTGCCACGCGACTGTTGACACCTCAGTAGACTGCAAATGCTGTATCGTCGGACTATGACAAGATCGTGGAGTTCTTTGACGATTTGGATTCTTATCTTCACCGATTAAAGACGTTGGAACACAATACGCCACAAGTCCCGGAGTTACAGGCGGCCTTGACAGATGTCTTCCGATCAGTCCTAGTCCTCTGTGGTATCTGCACAAAATACACACAGAGGAAACGAATCGGTCAGTATCTTTTTCTTTGGCTTTCCCATTTGGGCGACTCCTGCATATGCTTCAATTCATTCTGGATGTTGAAGGATATGTGTACTAAGCGTTTCACAGTCAAAGCATTCCAAAACCTTGTCTCGGGTGAAGACGCCGAGCTTAAATCCGCGTACGAGCGCTTCCACAAAACGGTCGAGCGGGAACAAGCAGTGGTCAGATACGCCATACTCTCTGACGTACAGGAGCTCAAAATAAAAACTGGCTCTGTACATGGGGATGTCAGAACAACCCTCGCTGTTGCAGAACGTCTGGATAACAATCTTGGGACGGTAGTAGCCGGTGTACGACATATTCAAACACATGTCGAAGGTAAGGTCACCGGGTTCAGGTGGACAGGTATTAATCATTAAAATTTAACGTGAATCATAGACCAGGAAACCGCGCTCGAACGGAAAGAGCTTCTAGCGTGGCTGTCAGATCTCGAATTCCATGACAAGCAGCGAGATTCCTTTGCGAAGCATCATCAGTCTACTGGAGAGTGGCTGCTGAGCTCTGAGCCATTTCAAAGATGGCTTAGAGATGAGAAAACCACAACTATCTGGTGTCCTGGAATTCGTAAGTACCATCACTATCGTACCCGCCATTGGATACATGCTTAGGTACTGACCGAATATCCAAGCTGGTGCGGGGAAGACCGTGATGTTGTGAGTTTTGAGCCCACGACTGTCAGCTCATCAAGTCTCCATGCTCATCAATATGTCGAACAGATCGGCTGCTGTCAACTACGTTGAAGAAATCACGGAAGGATCTAATGTTGCGATTGCATATGTGTATTGCGACTACCAAGACTCGACCACACAGTCTGAAGATGGCATTCTGCGCAGCGTGACCCGCCAGTTGGTCGAGCAATGTACGTCGGTGCCATCCGAAGTGATGGAATTCCGTGACAAGTATAGCGGGAGGAGAACTCAGCCGACTTCCGCAGAGCGTATCTCTCTTCTCAAGCTTTTGACTCAGTATTTCGGGAGGACATACGTCTTCATCGATGCCTTGGTGAGTCTCTGTCCCCGCTCGCGTCAGGGCTGCTTGCGAGATGCCTAACGTTGGCAGGACGAGTGCCCGGAAGAAAATAGGGAAAGGCTTCTCAACGTGACAAAAGAGCTGCAGCATTTTGTCCGTCTGTTCATCACCTCTCGACCGAACGTGGATCTGCAGGGAAGACTCTATAATCTGACACGAATCGACATTGTGGCGAACGAACATGATGTCCATGCCTACCTGCTTTCGGAGATTGAAACGAACCACAGAATGCGTCTCTTCACCACCAAAGACCCGAATCTGAAAATGGACATAGCGAATGGGCTCCAAGAAAAGGCCCAGGGCATGTAAGATTAAGCTGAACCCCAAGTTGCGGAGGAGTCTAACGGTTCGCAGGTTTCTGCTAGCTCATCTCCAAATGCGCCAGCTCTGTAGTCATTCTAGCGTAAAAGGGGTTCGCCAAGCTCTGGGCACGCTGTCAGAGGACGTCTTCACCTTTTACCAGGGAGCCATGAGTAGGATTGAGAAACAAGGGGAACAAGACAAAAGTCTGGCTAGAAGGGCGCTCAGTTACATATTCTGTGCGCGAAGACCACTCGATATGGATGAGCTTCTCCATGCATTGAGCGTTGAGGATGGGGATACACAACTAGACGAATCCGCTCTTCCCGAGATCGAGATCCTTATCAGCGTTTCGGGTGGCCTAATCCGGGTTGATGAGAAAACTGGCAAAACTGGGCTCGTCCATTTCACGTTGCAGGAATATTTCGAGAAGTATCCTGCACAACTTCTGCCCCAGTTCGAGATGGAGATGGCTCAAGTGTGCCTTACGTACTTGTCCTTCGACGCCTTTGAGAGTGGGCCCTGCACCGACGACGAGAGTCTCACTCAACGTCTGCAAAAGTACCGATTCCTTGATTACGCTTCCCATCAATGGGGGTTTCATGTCAAGGCAAGCCAACTTGACAACGACCAGGATCGTCTTCGAAGTATCCTAGGAGATGATCGTAAATTGTCTTCTTCGATTCAAGTCCTTCACACCTCTCGGCGTCGGATAAAAGGAGGGTACGACCGGTTCCCGAAGCAAGTTACGCCGCTACACGTTGCAGCAGACTGGGGCTTACAAAGGCTCTTGACTGTTCTGTGTCAAGCCGTCACCGAGATTGACAGTCGAAACAGTTACGGAGCGACTGCGCTGCAATTAGCTGCCCGTGGTGGCCATTACAAAGCCGCACAGTTATTGCTTGAGAAGGGAGCCGGGATCAACCTGTGCAATGACAAAGGCGAGACGGCTTTAGCCTGGGCGAGCAGACTTGGCCACCTCGAAACCGTCGAGCTTCTTATCCACCATGGAGCAGACGCATTGGTAGAGGATAATGAACAGTGGACGGCGCTCCACTGGGCAATCATGAACGGGCATAACGAAGTGGTGAAGGCTCTCCTTCAATATACCGCCAATATGGGTACGGGGAGTGTTGAGAGAAACAAGGGCCTCATCCTTGCCGCTGATGCGGGTAACGAAGAGATAACGGACATACTCTTAGTAGCCGGTGCCAACAAAGACTGGAGAAACCGTGAGGGAAGCACAGCACTGACCTTTGCGGTTCCCCTTGGCCATGAAAAGACGGTACATACACTCCTTCGGCACGGAGCCGACGTCAATGTACGAGACAATTACGACAATGTGGCGCTCCACTGGGCGATCACATACCCTACAATCACCAGGTTGCTGCTGGCAAATGGAGCTGAAGTTGGCGCTAGGAATATTGAAGGAAAGACGTCAATGCATTGGGCGGCTCAGGAGGGGCAGACTGAAGTCACGGAAATCCTGATTCAGTCCCGCGGTGATGTTAACGCGAAGGACAAATTCGGGTTCACGCCACTTCATACCGCGGCGCTGAAAGGATATGAGTCTATGGTGCGACTTTTGTTGGAGCGTGGGGCTGACCCTAATGAGAAAGACGAGGATGGATGGACGCCATTCCACGCGGCCGCTTTGAAGCAGCATGATGGCATTTTGAGCCTATTATTCGACAAGGTTGAGAATGGAAACCAGATACTTCAACAAATGACACGACGGCTGGAAGACGAAAATCAGCGAGACATCCTGAACGAGATGGCGGACAAGAAGTCGGTCGGGAGCAACCTTGTCAGCGGTCTCCGGTTAGCCGTCAACAGTGGACATGTCGAGAGAGTGCTGGCTCTTTTGGACGCCGGAGCAGACATTGATGCCGAGGATAGTGTTGGAGGCTCGACGGCCCTCACACTAGCGTCTTGGCTATGTCTTCGGGATATCGCCCAACTCCTCTTAGAGCATGGTGCCAACCCCAACAAACCTGACCGAAGCGGACGAACCGCGCTACATTATGCGGTTGACTATGGTTACCATGATCTAGTCAAGTTGTTGGTTGAGAATGGAGCTCATGTCGATACAAAGATCCATGGGCGGACGGCGACGCTTTTGGCAGGGAGAAAAGGTTTTCTGCTGACTGCAGATTACTTGGTTCGACATGGAGCGGATGTCCATAGCGCGGACTATCGAGGACGCAGAGCGCTACACTGGGCTGCCTACCATGGCGGTGTGCCTTTAGCACGTCGTCTTCTAGATCAGGGCGCGGATCCCAACGTGACTGACTGCTTGGGAAGGACGCCACTGGTCTGGGCAGTTGAGCGCAGCCAACACAAGACAGTGGCGCTATTGGTGCGCAACGGTGCGGATGCCACCTTGACTGCAAAGGAGTTGATCACGGAGCCTGACGACACATATCATTGGGCTGGCGCTGATGGCGACGAGAATGCTACGCTGAGAGGTACTCCGTCTCTCAAAGGAATGCCCAATATCTCTAAGGTTGACCTTCAGGGCTCTCGCAGCTTCCTTGCCAAACTCGGCATCGGAAGAAACAGTGGTCGGCAGAAGGTGGCCAACGCTTTAGAGAGCGTAGCAAGGTGAGCTTTACTCTAATCCATAAGAATGAACACTTGTCAGCATACTAATGTGGTTCTGACTACGATAGGACTGATAGGGTGACCGAAGGCTTGCTCTTGAATGTGGCCGAACGTGTGGACGTCATTGAGCCGGTAACAAAGTTCGCCAGCACAAATCGGACGGGCACTGGCGTGCGGAACACTTTCAACGTTGGGCTTGACCATTGGCAGCCCGACGGCGGTCTTCAGTACGACCTCATCTGGACGCAATGGTGTGTCGGCAACTTGACGGACGCGGAGTTGGTCCGATACTTACAACGGTGCAAGACGGTGGTGACTCCGGTCACCGGGGTCATCGTCATTAAAGAGAACCTGAGCACCATCGAAAGTAATGTCTTCCGTGAGATAGACAGCAGTATCATGCGGTAAGGTTAAAATGAGGTGCTTATCTGGGTTCAGTATGGGAACTGATTTCGCAACAGGAGCGATGCGAGGTTTCGAACCATCTTCCAACAGGCGGGCTTGCGGATAATAAAGACGGAAACGCAGAAGGGTTTCCCAAAGCTTCATGGTGTCAAGCTGTTTCCGGTGCAAATGTATGCGTTGAAGCCGGCATAGGTCATGAAAATCGAAGGGCGACGGGAAATTAAGCGTCGGAATTATTTGTGGTGCACCATGAGGGTTCGTCCTCTAATTATATCATCGGCTCCGGCTTTGGTTCGCCCCCACGGACTGTGGCATTGTTGACCTTTGCCGGGCACGGCCGCCTCGGCTCCTGAAGTTCTCTCGGACCCTCGGGTCGGGTTTATCGTCTTCGAAATTAATATATTTTCTTTCCGATGAAACATGCCATAAACCTTAACACAGTGGAAAGGGAGTGGGGTACGTTCGAGCTGATGGAGTGGCACATGGCAAGAAGGGTTGGTTGCGCCTGCCGTCTTCCACGACACATAACCCGAGAGTGGGCTCTGTCCTCTGTGGCACAGTTCCCAATTCTAATTATCTCTTCATTCCTCTTTTCTAGGTACTTCGAAAAAGATAGAATATCGACCCTCCACCATATGATCCAATACCTGGGGTTGAATGATACTTGACGAGCCTCTCGAGTTTGTGACAACGCCAGGTCGGTACACAGGTGCAAGACCGAGCGATAGCCCTTCAAAACTACTGCCTAGATGCACAGCTGGCCATGCCCGAAAAGTCCACGGCACTCGAAGCACGCGAACCGCGCCGCGACTTTGAGTTGTGCAAAGTTGTCTTCGTTGCCGCGGCAGGTATCCCCTTCCCCTCCATTCAGGCCGGAAAATCCTAACACTTGCTCTAGTTAAGCCAGATACTGTTTGCCAGGCATGCGTTTCCGCCGGCGTGCTTTCAACTTCTCCCACTTAGAGAAGTTGTCTCCCGGTCGTTTGAGACCATTATCACCGACGGTACTGGGCTCCGCGCATTCGATAAGGAGTTTCTGAGGGATCAAGGGTACACTATATTTCTGCGGCATGAGTCAGATTATGGCTTAAATCGATTCTTGGGAATCTTGGTACGCAATTTCGTTGTCTCGTACTCGTAGGTTACCAGGGAAGATGCTAACCATCTCGTCTAGGAGGAGGATATTTTCCCACTGATCGAGAGCGAAAGCTTGATCAATTTTAGAATCAGCTACCTTCGCACAAAGACGTGGAAAGAAAATTCTTTGCTTGAATACTTTACTATTTCAATCAAGTATAACAAGGACGGTGCATATGGGTTGGGGATTTGGAGGGGGGGGATGGGTCATCAGCATATTGCGAATACCGACTGCCAGCTGTGGAATTTGGGGGATTATTTGAGCAGGCTCAATTCGTTGGATGGTTTGTTTATCTCTGGGGAAATGAAATCCGGTTTGGATTCTTATTAACCTTTAGCGAATTAGATCCTGTTCACTGGACACTCGCATTTCACGCGGTTGACGAACCGGATGACCCTCTCATCGGTGTTTGGAAGTTCGGCCGGAAGGAATTCGATGGCGCCAAGCTCAAGCTACAGCAGCTCGATAACTATTCTTACGTGAAAGTCTCGCACCTGGAGTAAGCGGTCCGGATCTCAAGGTGGTTGACGATTGACTAACCTCTGCAGGATTTTGCCGCTTTCTCCCGCAGACGGGGAGGAAGTTGATATCGAAACCATTCCGAAATCTAACTTAGGTGTCTCCGTTGACCGAGTCGAAGAACCGCATGCGGACGCTGAGCTTCTTCATATAGAACCAGGACCAGAACTAAATCGAGATCAGACGAGAAAATCGAGCAGAAACGGCGGAGACAATTTGCACGCCCAGCGCCCCCATGCGGTCCAACCGTCCCTACCATTGACCGTTACCTCGAGTAGAACTGCATCAGGCGATCGAAAATGCCTTGTGGGAGCGAAAGAGGGAATGAATCGACCACTCGGACGAAAGGCAGAGCCCACAGAGGCGGATCGCAGTTCTAAACGGACTAAGCAGACCGTGGCTAAGAGAAAACCCAAGAGACCACTGGTAAGATTTCGTGTAGTTCCCGCCGCAGTTCTGGATTCTAGTGTTGACGGCGAAAAGCAATTGTTTGAAGATGCCGCTTCAAGTTTGGCCGCGACACAAATAATTGGTGAAAGCCAATCTTTGGGACAGCGAACACAAGGAGTTGAGGTCGCGGATCATGGTAGTGGTCACGGCGGGCAGTTGCTTAGCCAGACACGGCCCGACAGAGGGGTTTCTCGGCCTAGCTCTCCTGATCCGTTCAATTTTATCCTCGGGATGTCTCTTTCACCGGAAGCCAAGTCCGCAATTGAGGGTCCTCACAAGACTTCTCGTTCTCAGTTCCCGGTTCAAGCCCCGGAGACACAAACCGGGATCGGGAGAGTGCCATCGAGAGGCGAGGCCAAGGAATTACTTCGGCTTGACCCATCTTCGAGCCCCTCGCCTTCCCAGAAACAACTGGCAGCCTCACAAAAGGCCGTGGGGCTTGCTTTTAGTGACGGCACGAAGAAACAAGAGGCGGTGGAAAACCAAGGGGTCGACATCCCGTCTTATCAGGCGGTTGACGAGAACGCCGAAATCAGCTTTGCGTTTTCTCCGCGACCAAATACACGACGGGCATCATTGTTTTATGATCTCCCCAGCAGCAGCGTTGGAGAAGATTGATACTACGGGCAGGAACACGGAGGTGTCAAGGATATTAAGAAATATTCCAACGATACTCCCCTGGCTAAGCCACTAATTAAAGCCCCTAAGCGTCGCATCTAGTACCGGATGGGATGAGAACATCTTGAGATTTAGTCGCTGTAGCTACTACCTCCCTCCTGAAAAATAAAAATCAGTTGCTTTGTACATGCTTGATGTTGCCATGTGTTGATAAACTCTAGGGGCGATCATTGATAAAGGACGAGTAAGATTTTGCTTGGCTTCACGCTGTTTCCTGACAGAGAAGGGCGCGTCCAACTTACATGTGACTTGCTTAGGTTCTGTGGTTATCGTCATGACGTCTGAACACAAAATGTACACCCGATCTGTCCCATGACGGTTGAACTGCAGGACTGTACAACAAACCTTAACCCCCCCAAACCTTATTGCAGGAACTATAAAAGAAGGAAGGAGCGCTCACTGGGGAGTTAAATTCCCTCTATGTTTAGGTCTCTGTAAACCTTCCTAAAACCTTTAGATTATTCACCCTTTCTCGGCGCCTTGACCGATCATTCACTTACAACTCTTCTTTGTATTTGCTATTCTCACCGCCGTGACGACCACCACCCCGTTGACTCCCCGGGTCGCCAATTCCTCATAACCTTTGGTCACGCTGAATGATTACAACGTGATTCCTCTCGGCGTAATCTACAATACAACACCCCCCTTGGCCGATATCCACCATGAGCAACGGACACACCACCGGGTCCCTACTAGCCATGCAGCCCCACGGCATGATACCTCAACCCATGGCAGGGGCGAGCTTCCTCACATGGTCGCGGATACCGGCCGATATTCGCGTCCTGATCCTAGAGATGATTGCAGAGACCAAGAACGAAGGCTGGCGGTCTTGTGCTGCTGTCTGCAAGGAGTGGCATCGGGTGATCGCCAGAGCAAACTTCCAATCACTCCGACTCAACAACCCCCATCCGAGGAAATTCAGGGATGTTGTGGTTCAGCACAGGCATTTGATCCAAAACATCTAGTTTGAGGCGGTGATGGATGAGTATGGCTGTGACAAATGCCCCGAGCCCATGGAGTTGAGGGAGATGTGGGGTGTTAGTGCCCGGCTTCGTCAGAAGTTGGTTGACCTCTTCCGACTCCTGGGTATCCTGGAACAGACGACCAAGAACAGCTTGACTCTTCATATCAGCGTCTACTTCCCGAGCCACACAAAACATTGGTTTAAAAATTGGCACACTACATCCGACCCCACGTATAAGAGAAAGGGCGGAGCCAAACGCCCGCCTCATACGTGGAACGACCATGGCTGGGTTAGTGGCAAGCAGGTTAAGTCACCCCCTCTCTGGGCCCTTCTGAGGCCTTTTGAGGTCACGGTACTCGCTTTCCCAAAGGAACTTCCTTCGGTCAGCAATGTGACACGGCTGGTCATTCGCCGACAGCAACGGCACGGCTTTTATGACTAGACTCTTTTCAAGATTCTCGCGGCACTTCCTGCCTTACAGCATCTTGTTTATGAGCCCTGGAGGAAATGGATGCGCGTCGATATTGAATCCATGGATCGGGGTAAGTGACAACTGAACCCGTCGCGGGGGCGTTTTCTTCTATACTGTAATACATTCCCCACCGCTGAGGCTGCTTATCTAACGGACTATTTAACACAGGGTTTTGCGATCTTCTTGACCATGCGTCGGACACTGAAGACCGTGACATACAAGCGCATACCATGCGGAGATGTCGGCGCGAGTTTCGCTTACGACAGCCTAAGGCTTGAGAAGGTTTCTCTCGCATTTATGATTGACGCCAGGGACTTTTTCGATACTTGCCAGCGTTCTTGGAGGTGGCCCTGCCTTGAGTCACTCGCGTTAACATCTCGGATCCTTTGTGAACCCAAGACACACCAAGAGAAAATAAAGGTTGAGAATCTGTTCCGCGCGGCTGGCAGAGTGGCACGGCGAATGCCCAAGTTGAAGACGATGGTCCTTTGGAACGGCCAGGTGAAGAACGCCTGTGCATTCATTTACCACGTCGGCGCAGGCCCGGAACCTATGGCCTCTATTACCTGGCGTGGTACTTGGGAGATGGAACTCACACACCGAGTCGTCGCGGTCTGGGAACGCGTGGCTGAAAAGCAAGGCTATCTCAAACCACTCTGGGTCGCACAGGAACATATTAGCAAGGAGGATATTCTGTCGCATGGCGAAGCGATTCATCATCTGGCCATGCCGTGTCAAGTCGTTGTGCCGGAGTTGTTGTGGCAGATCCGTGACGAAGGGAGGTCTGGTGCCTGGGAGGCTAGATGGAATGTTGAGCCTTGAGCGGCCTATTGTTTTTTCGGTGCCCCTAGTGCTAATTTGTAATATCCATACTGCGACGGGCTTTGCCGCGACGGGCCGTACCCTGCCCCTCACATGTTCAGGGTTGCTTTCTTTCGAGGTTGTGAGGTCTTATGACAGTCTGGGTGGTAATCACGCGCTGGATTTTATCTGAATACTCGACGATTCGATGAAAAGGGGGGGCGGGAGAGAAGGGTTTATGGCACATGTTTATTTCATTTCATTTTATTGTTGGGTTCGGTGATAGGTTAGTTAATTACCTGGTCGGGTGCAGGTTCACAAAAAACCACCAAAGTAGGCTTGTAAACTAGCTCTCATCATAAAGAATGTATTTACCTTTGTGATTATGTTGTCCAGTCCGGTGTGGCACTGGAGAAAAAATAACTTTGGTGTTTTGAGTAAAGTTTTATGGCAGCGCTGTGATGTTGTGTTAGGCACGGTCAAAGACCCCTGTTTGTCTGTTGCTATCTTTGCACACACCTTGCTATCTCCCGGTCGAGCCCGGATAGTCTGTTCCATTGCTAACTCCGTTCGGCCCCACACATTGCCCCGTTCCAGGAAACAGGGGTAACCTTGAAGGATAGCAGGACTTAAACGGAATGGGCTGTGCTTAAATCCGATCCTGTCAGCTTACACCAAGTGCCTGCCCGCCCTCCCCGTCCCAGTCAATGCTTCCAAGGGGCTTAGGATCGTCGTCAGCTCGAGAAAGGTGGCATCATAGGTTGTTGTACGGAAAGGCCGGAGTGGTCGACATTGCGGCGCCGAGAAATTTGAGTCCTCTTCTCGTTAGACCCTGTGGTAGTGATGCGGTGAGCGTGGTGATATTCCTAGGGTACAACCGGACGTTGTGCGTCCAGTACGTCCGGTTACAGCCGAGATGCTCCCGATTTGGGCGCGCTTGCAACGGTTCCCGGGCTGTTTGCGTGTCCGACTCGCCCGAAAATCGTTGCTTGTGGGGCTTTCATAGGCCGTGCGTCTTTTTGGATGACAAACCGCTGAGGGATCTTCAGAATGGAATCGACCAAATCGAGGAACGGCAACTAATCACGTCGTCGGACGGTGTTGCCTTGGGCGGCGCAACCGTCAGCCGAACTCCGCTCTGAAGGATCCAGTATGTTGCCGGGTGGCTTCTGATGCCTTCGGATGCATGTCGGCTGATGTCGCATCTCGAAAGGGAGGGAGATATAAGAACCAGACGGCAGGAGCATTCTTCTTCACTCAGTTCCTCATCTGCAGCTTCCTCTTGAAACCCACAATTCTCCAACAGCATCTCCAAGACAGGACCCATATTTTTGGTGACTGCCTTACATATACAGCTTTCTGCCCAACTTCAAACTTTTGACACCAGCATCCAATATCTCGTCGCCACAAAACCTCACAACCTTCATCATGTCTGACCTTCCGTTCCCCCAGCAGCCGCAATTCCACACCACGGCCGACTACCGTGCGGCCGTCCTCACGTACCCTGGCAACTTCCGCCGGGCTCTGCAGGAGGCCCAGAAGGACCCTAAGAAGACCCTTCTCGGCGTGGCCCAGGGCATTCCCAGTGTTTTCGTCACCAAGGTCATGGCCTCGGCCAAGCCCGACTTTATCTGGATGGATGTAGAGCACGGCATCTTTGACCGCTCGACTCTCTACGAGTACGTTCGCTGATTATCTCCCACAATGTCGAGGTGGATTTTGAGATGCTGACCTATTCTAGTGCCATCCATGCCGCGCAGCACCACTCTGAGGGCAAGACCATGGTCGTTGTCCGTGTTCCCAAGCACGACGAGGTCAGCCTGTCGACCGCGCTTGATGCTGGTGCCTCGGGTATCGTCATCCCCCACACCGACTCCGCGCAGGACGTTCTCGACAAAGTCAAGGATGTGTTTTACCGTGAGTAGACCGACTCCCGTGAAAAAATAGTACTTTCGTGCTAACAGTTACTAGCTCCCAAGGGCCAGCGCTCTTTCAGCCCCTGGACCTTTACCCCTGGCATCTCCAACCAGTCCTTGTATGCCAACGACGAGTGGAACATGAAGAGCTCCAACAACCACGTTTGCCTGATCGCCCAGATTGAGAGCGTTGAGGGTCTCAAGAACCTTGAGGAGATTGCCGCCCTTCCTGAGGTTGACGGCCTCATGTTCGGCCCCGGCGACTACAGCGCCGACGCCGGGATCAACTTCAGCCTTGCCGCGCCACCACCGCAGGAGTTCATTGACGCCATGACTCGCTTTGTGACGATCGCGCACAAGTACAACAAGCCGCTGTTCGGGTGAGTTTTCCTCTCTACATATCGTTTGTTAGTGATGAGTACAGGCCGTACTAATTCATTTTCCAATACAGTGGTGCGCAAGGCCCTGCCATGATCCCCATCCTGCTCCAGCAGGGCTACAAGGCCCTCGCTGTCACCTTCGACGTCTGGGGTGTGGCCAACATGGTCAAGGACGGCATGGGCGAGGCCCGCAAGGTCATCCACAAGATTGCGGATGACGCTGCGGCGGCTGCTGCCGCTCCGGCGGAGGGCGAGAAGAAGGAGGTGGTTGACCTGAACGAGAAGGCGTAAATTTAGAGTTGGTTGGGACGACAGGTCCTATTGTGACAGCATTAGGATGACTGTTTTGTATACTATAGATGTGGCAGAGAGTGCCGTGATACATGAGCGACCAGCGATAGACGATTCCCTTCTAATTTGGACATGATTCATCAACACACTTGGAACCAATGGCTTAACCTGCTCTGTGACTTGTCTAAGTGGATAAGTGTCGTCAAAGTTAACTTTATGACATGCAGCAAAGTCGTAAATATAGAACAAGCGGTCCTCCTATACGACTTCCTCGGACTTGGTAGACGGCCTGATTGGCTCTTTTGACGCAAAGGTCGGAGAGAGGGACTCTGCAAGGGACTAATTATCTGCAAGGGACTCAGCAAGCAAGCCGAAAAGGGAATGCCAGTGTGGCACGGCCGTGGGATATAACGCACACTGTATGCACCCAAGGGATGGACACACACCGTACGGACATACATGCACCTAAGGAAGTGGAAGAATGATAACCATATTTTGTACACATGCTCCATACATACATACATCGTCGATAACCAACCACGGATATCATTTCTCATTGTCAAGCAACAGACCACCGCCCTCCCATCGCATCAAGTTTTCCAGAAGGACCAGACCCAACTCCTTTTCCAATACATCGTGGGGAAAAAAGCAGAAGTTCCACCGCCCTACATCCCAGGTAACTTCAAAGCAAAATAAGAAAAAGACAAAAAAGGAACAAACGAAAAAAACCCTCACTGCACCAACACACCGCTCACCATCCCAGCCGCCAGTGTCCCTGTCCTCACCACCCCCACCGTAGCCTTCAACCAACACGCCGCCGCCGCCGTCGCCGCACTCCCCACATCGCTATCACCACTGCTCTCTGTGGCAATCATGGTCCCCTTCGGCCGGAAAACAGCGCCCACGCAGTCCCACCGGCGCGCACACGCGTCCAGACAGTCGGCCATGGTGTTGATGTCGAGGGTGTTGGTTTGCAGGCCGAGTTCGCCGTCGCCGCCGGGGTAGTCGGCGTTGCATTGGATGCGGAAGGTTTTGGGGGAGGTCGTGGCGTTGGAGGTGTAGGTGTTGTGTTCTTGGGCGTTGGTTGCGTTGGGGTCGGTGCAGACGGGGTCGGTGACGAGGGAGGAGGGGAGGGTTGTGGGGGTTGAGGAGCTGGGGGTGTTAGTACGGTTTATGGCGGTTCATGGTGGGGAGAAATAAAAGGGAAAAAAAGAAAAGAAGAAAGAACTCACCCCCCATCCATCGCAGCCGTACGAATCTTCCCACTCAAAACAGCCCCCAACACCCCAGCCAACGCAACCACAATCACCGCCAAAATAACAACAACCCAAAACAACCCCCTCTTCCACATTGGTTTCCCCTTTCCCCTTCCTTTCCTTCGCCCGCGTCCACTCTTCTCCCCCTTTCCACCACCACCAGCACCAGCAGCACCACCCCCAACCAACGAAGCCAACCCCCCCAGCCCCAACCGCCGTAATCTCTCCTCCCTCCTCCGCCTTCTCAACATCCTTTCCCTCCTCTTCTGCCTCTCTTCCGGCGTTAACCCTACCCCACGCTCCGCACCATCCTGGTCGTCGTTCTCATCATCATCTTCACCATCACTGTCATACTCATCATCCGTCTCCAAATCCGTCCCACTGCCGGTCGCCCCACTAGCACCAACGGTCTGACCGCGCAGACCCTTCCGTCGCTGATGACGTCGTTGCTCGCGTCGTTGGCGCCGATGCTCGTTTTCTTCTTCCTCGTCTAGTTCGGACCAGGCTTGGCGGAGGGAGTGCACGCCCGAGGTGCGGGGGATGGAGCCGTTGCTGAAGGTGTGGGCGTGGGCGTGGGCGTTGGCGTGGGGGTCGTGGACGAGGGGGGGTGCCGCGAGGGGGGATGTGCTGGTGGTTGCGGTATTGGTGTTGGTGGTGTTGTTTGTTACGGCCGTTGTTGTGCCGGTGAGGGAGGCTAGGCCGGGGCTGGCGAGGTTGAGCGGGGGAAGAGTAGTATCGTGGGATGTGCTGGATGTTAAGGGTGGGTGTGGGATATTATTATCGCCTGGTCCCCCGTGGGCGGTACTACCGCCGATACCTTGGGAGAGTGACCGTTGGCGGTTTTGGAGATGGTGTTCCTGGGCGAGCTGGAGCTGGACGGGGTCGAGTTGGTGGTCGAGCTGGATGGGCGCAAGTTCCGGGTAGCTCTTTTCGTGCTTGACTTGGTCGTAGTCGTCGGGGACTACTTCGGGATAGGTGTGGTACGTCTCATGGGTGGTGGGGATGAGACCGTCATGGTAAGCACGCGGTGCGGGGGTTTCCCGCGTGCGTTTCCCCATGGTTTGTGGTGGTGGTTATAGGTAGTGACGTGAGATGTGCACGTTTTCGGGTCGCGGGAAGGGCCGCGTTGGACGGCAGACGTGTAAATGGAGGTCAAGCTGAGGGCAAGTGCCTCAATGTGGAATCAGGGTGCAGAGGGATCCCGAAAAAGAGGGAAAAAAGGTAATAGAAACAGAACAGAGAAAAAAGATGCGGAATCACAACAGTGGGATCTGGAGGACGAGATGGGGAAACCGGGCGTGTGACTGAGTTCAGCCGAGGAAGTGATTCACTTGAGGAAGACTGGGGAACCAATACTGTGTGGAATGACAAGCGCGCAACATGCACATCAGCGCGCTTCGTCACCAACAGCTCGAACAAGCCGCCAAGCAAACACGGCCACCCTGCTGTTGGGGGTGTTGGTGGAAAAAAAAAGGTCAAGCAAGGAGGGAAAGACCAACAATTTTGTGATTTGGGCCAAGTTGAGAGGGAAGCAGAGAAAAGAAAAGCCAACGAGGCGTTTTCGGCAACAACATCGAAGTTGGGGGAAAGTACGATGCGACGACGGCCAAGCTTTCACCTGCCGGCTTCACGTCTCGTCTGGTCTCGTCTCGCGAACCTGCGCTCCTCCTATGGTCTGATGAATCCTTCCCGGTTTGCCCTTCCTGCTCGCGAATTTCAAACCAATCCGGGTCAATTCACGAATCGGACGAACCACCCGCGACTCGGGGACAAATTCCCGATTTCCATTCATTCTCAGGCTTGTCAGGGTCAAAAACTTGTTGAACGTTTGACGAACGGAACGCTAATTTGGAATGGGGCGGCGCGACAATCTGCATTGTAACCCTGCCCGAACCCTCGTGGCCGTTGCCTGGTCCCTGGCGGACCGGCGGTCGAGACAACTCCATGGGCGAAGAAGATACCCACAACGGCCTCCGCAACATCCTCCGAGCACGAAAGGTAGCTTGGCCGAGGACGACAATATTTATCGTGACAGGCGATGATCATCGTCCAGTGTGTTTTCTTTGCCCTGTGTCTTGTAGTATAAGAGGTGGGCAGCCCGTTCGATCCGCTGCCGCTTGGTTTGAGACACGCGCTGAGTTCACCATCCATCCTCGAGCTCTTGTCGTTTTTGTGTTCCGAGCAACGTGTTGCGCGCGGAATTAGGAATTCAATCAACGACCGTGGAAGCTGCGCCTGCGCCGCATGCCCACAGCAACTCCGCCTGCGCCGGGCTGCGGTGCACCTGCCCGATTGAGAAAATTCAGAGGGGCTCCCCCTGGCCAGCTCTCTCACGACAACTTTTCAGGGCAAACTGGGGACTTTAAAACTGGGTAACTGGGGGGTTGCTGTCCGCAGGGGGAACGCCCAGTTGGGGGCCGCGATGTAACTGTAGCTGCTGGAAGCCCCCCATCCCCCCGCTGTTGTTTTTCCAGGTTGATCTGCAGCGCACGATCGTTGCGTCGAAGGGGGAGCTATTCTCGTTGCCTGGAGCTTGGAGCGGGGTTTTGGAACTGATCGGAGTCGTTATTTTTGCCGACGATGATGAGACAAAGTCCAGATATGAAGGAAGGCGGGGATCATGAACTTTGAGAACCCTTTTGGGGCAATTTTCGGCGAATGCTTCGGTATGTATGGATGCTACGACGGGAGCTCTAGAGATAACGTTAAGGGACAATGCTGTCGGCTCCACAAGAGAACAAATATGTCAAGAAGCGAAAGCTGCCAAGCATCAACACACATATTCGGCCCCCAATGACAAACGTCAATCCCTTACTGGAAAGATGACATCTTTTCCGCCACCTGCAAAAGTTAAACATAAAACATGAAACATGCAGGCCGGCCAAACACACTGTTTCTTCCCTCCAATCCCGAGTCACCTAAATCCCCGGACCAGACCCGCGCCGGCCCGTTGAGAACAAACTACTTCGGCGTGGCGGAATCGGCACCTCAGCGGCCCCCGCCTCCTAGGCGCTGCCGAACTTGGCAAGGTACTCGTCGTGCAGCTTCTTTTGCCTGTCCCAATCCTTCTTGAGCTTCTTGGTCTGGCTCTTGGGGACCTCGCTCCCATCCGCCAGCTTCGTTGGCAAACCCTCAGCATCCCATTCTTGATACTTCGCGTCGCCCTTAAAGAGTTCCTGGGGAGGCACCTTGGCTTTGGCCCATTTCTCCTCCTCTGCCTTCTCTCGCGCCTTGCGGGCTGCATCCAGGTGTTAGCGCATGTCCTGTTGGAACCCGGGAGGATCTGACAACTTACCTTCTTCCTTCTGCCTCGCCTTCTCAGCTAACAACGCCGCCTTCTCCTCGCGAGCCGCAATCAACCTGGAGGCCGGCACAAACTTGATCAAACTTGGCTTGTCCACCTGATCATCAAGTTGGACGCCAATGTCCGTCAAATCATAATCACGGATCCGATCACTCAACGCAAGCACCGCTTGTTTGCTGGCGGCCGGCAACGAGGACACGACCGCGCGCAACACATCACGGAGACGAGACGCCGCGCGGAGATATGGTAGCGCCAGCTTCTCTACATCACGCTCGCCGCTCTTCTCCAGCTGGGCAAACTCGGTATCGGGCGTCTGTTGCTGGAGAAGGGTCTGAACCGACGCTTCGGTGAGATGCAGCGCCTCAACGTCCGTTTTGATCTTGACGTACGCCCCGACAAACGGCTTGACGGCTGTTTGAGGGTCCAGGTTGGCCGCGGCGGCCGCGCTCGCGGAAGCCCATCCGAGACCGTTATACGGTGGCTGTGCGCTGGCGTCCAACCCAAGAATGCCCACAACCTTGGTCACCCACCGTGCCACAGTCTCAACAGCCGCTAGGCTGGTCTGGCCAGACTTGTCGGCCATGTAGATGTTGGCCTCCTTGACGAGTCGGAGGATCACTTGCATAGCACCGGCGGTATCGAATGAGTTGCGCAGTGCCGAGTCCAGGTCCTTCTGGGCCTGTTCAAGCTCGGTGACGAGGGACTTTCCTGCCCCCTCTTCCAGGGATAAGTCCTTGACGCCCTCTGTCGTGGAACCGGCCTCTGAAAGCTTCGCTTTGACGTTGGTGAAGAAATTCTGTGCTTGTTAGCGTGGGTTTTGTGTTTAAAACGCGGCCAACTCACGTCAACTGTGCTCTCCCAGCTGTCTGCCTGCTTCCGCATATCCGGGGAGATCTCTACCCCGTCGTTCCAGCGGCCCATCAAGAAAACGATGCGCATGTTTCGGGCCGTGTACGTTGTCGCCAACGCATCTTGGATCGTCTGGAAGTTCTTCAAGCTTTTAGACATCTTGCTACCCGCGATGGAGAGATGGCCCATGTGCTACAATCTGTTAGCGGCTGGCGTTTTCAAATAGGATAGCGAGGAGGCTTCAGTACCAGGAAGTAGTTGACCCAGGTATGCTCGCCCTTGTCGCACTGGTGAAAGTACGCCTCACTCTGAGCCAACTCATTGTCGTGGTGAGGGAACGCCAGATCGATGCCACCGGAGTGAATGTCCATCTGTTCGCCAAGTTTGTCGGAGGCCATGACGGAGCACTCAATGTGCCAGCCTGGGCGACCTGCACCCCAGGGGCTCGGCCAATATGGTTCACCAGATTTCGACTTTTTCCACCTACACCGTACTCGTCAGCATGAACCCCTTCAAACTTATTGCACAGGCATAACGCACAACGCAAAGTCCCCAGAACTCTTTTTGCCTTCTAAGCTCTTCGACAACGAGCCCTCGCCCTCCTCCTGGAGAGTCTTGTCGTTCTTGCTCTCGGGTCGTAGCCGGGCGTAGTTGTTTCCCGCCTTCTCGAAAGCCGCAATATCAAAGTACACCGATCCATTGGCTTCATATGCGAACCCATTGGCGATGATCTGCTCAACAAATGCCACGATCTGCGGGACGTATTCGGTGACTCGCGTGACGGCATCTGGTGGTAGCACATTCAAGGCCACCATGTCATCGTTGAACGCCTTTTCCATCGCTTGGGTAAGATCTGTAAAGATGGTCTGGTCGCTGGTGTCGATAGTCTCCTTGTACAGGGAGTCGAGATATGGAAGAAGAATGTCCTCTGCCCCGTCGAACCCCGTGCCATCAACCAGAGACTTGGCAGCCGAGTCCATGTTGCCGATATGCATCCTTGCCTTAGCTTCGGGGTCGCCAGGCTTCCCCTCGCCCGTCAGAGTCCCGCCGGATAGTACTTTGCCGTACGCGGCATCCCTGCGTTCGAGGTAATTCTTCTCATCGACAATTGACTGGCCCTCGCCGGTGAGTAGTGGCAGATTGCTTCCCGCATAGGCCTGGAACGCTTTGAAGACGAGATCCCGGATCTCCTTTGCGGTGTATGGCTTCTCCTTTTCGAGCTCCAGTAGCCGCTTTCTTCTCGCCTTGATGATAATCTGCAAAAAGAACTAAGTGTCTGGCCCCAATTTCAAACCCATGTACTGGTCGACCAACCTTGTCATCCACATCCGTGTAGTTCATCTGGATCCGGTTAGCTTAAACTGTTATTTGTGTCTTTCAAACCATCAATGAGCCACTCACCACAAAGTTGACCTTGAAGCCAAAGTGATGCATCAAAATACGGCGAATGATGTCCGTCGAGACATAGTTGCGGGCGTGGCCAAGATGGCTCAGGTCATAGGTTGTTGGCCCGCAGGCGTACCACGAGACCTTGCCCTCCTCCCGGGGTATAAACGGCACCGGTGCTCCGGGCTTGAGTGAGTTGTGGACAGTGATGGCTGCCATTGAAAAAGTCCGAGGAACCCAAGCAGTTGGAGTCTTTCGGGGCGTGTGGGAAAGGGGGTATCTCAATGAAAAGAAAGAAGCAGCAGTTCGAATCCGAGTGAGGGAGCGCATCCGGCCGTTGGCAGAGGTCAGATCGCACTTGTGTGGGGGACCTATAAAAAGGTCAGCCTGGCCGCTTGCTTGGATGAGTCAAAAATTGCTGTTCCAGGTTGGTTCCAGAGATTGTGGAGGAGCGGGGCATTGCCAGTGGCATGCTGCGGCACCCCACTCACTGTGCGATGGCGTGCGCAAACCGTTGCGGGAGCACGGGCCACATACCAAAGTCCCTGGAAGTTTGACACCGTGTAAGATTCCATGTTTGCTCAAGATTCCGCGAGTCTCCGTGTCTCGACTTGTTAAGCCTCGGAGATTACTGCAGTGACCTTTGTTCAGCCATCTACGCATTTTCATCGATGATTTTATGATTCATTTGTTGAACTACAGCGTCATTGAAGTTGTGCTCTTGGACAGAGCTGGTGTGTAACCGGTATTTATGGCGTTATGACTGATATTCTGACTGATATTTGACTCTGGCTGTTACAATATTAATCGAGCCAGAGCCAACTTCGACTCACTTGACACCCGACTCGATCACGCGCTCTGCTGGCTCTGCTGCCCGGGTGGTGCACGACGGGGAAGCCTTGCTCTCAGAAGTTTCAACAATCTTTCCTGCACTCCCCACAATAAATCTTTTTCATTCCCAACCTTGAAAAAGTCCAGCCCAAGTCGCCGGGACACGATCTCCACGTAGCCAAGTTTCGGATAAAGATTGTGGCAGACGACAATTATCTTTTTCGTGGGTGACCGAGCGCTCAATCCCAATTCAAGAAGACTGATCGGGGCATCCGTCATCGCGCCAAAATACACCACCAGGACATCGGCCCTTTCCTGCATATCCTGTTCCCAGTCCACCTGCTCCCGAAACGGCCCGAAGGACATATCCTCCCTCCATGATGCGTTCCAATCCTCCCGGAGCGGGTTGAAAAGGGTCAATTGATGGCCCCGAAGCGACTCTATGAGCGGCAAGCGCCAGTCGGGGCCAGCGCTGCTGGCAGTAATGGAGCCAGCCAAAAAGACGGACAGCTTGCCGGTAGTGGGCGCGCGACCAGGAGCCGGGATTACTTGCGCTTTCGGTGGGGTGGGTAGTGGCTTACGGACGGTGGTGACCATGGGACGTCGAGCGAGCGTTGACTGTCGAGGGCCTTGAGGGCCCTGAGAGCCTTGAGAGCCTTGAGAGCGTGTGGGAGTCGACATGATTCGTACGCCACAAATCGATAATTAAGAAGCACGTGGAGAACAAATGTGAAATGTCTGCGTTAAAGAAAACAGAAGCGGGATGATAGGTAGTTGGGGGGGGTGGAAGAACTGTAGACGGTGGTTGAGCTACTGGGTAGGGACTTACAGATCTGCAAGGGTAGGTAAATCAGGTATATATGCAGTCGTATAAAAGCGGGGTTAGCTCCCAGTCCCGTGCTCTTGTACGAAAGGGTCAGCCCAACTCATAGCAGCCTTGTTTGGTGATACGAATCTTCAGGCCCCCCATAATTCTTCATGGCACAGCAAGGACTCCGAGGAGGCCGTGCCCGGTCGGGACCAGCCTATATTTTGGACCCAAACAGCTGTTGCCTTCCTCCCATTGCCTGCGCTTCAAGGTGTCTTGGGATGCGAGGAATGAAAAAAAAAAGTAATAACTAATTGGTCCCTTGGTGTGCATCGTCGTTCTAGGACGCGGAGGGTTAGGGTTGAAGTTTCTCTTCCCTGATTGTCAGTTTGATGTGATTCCAGATAACTAACGTTCAGCACCCAATTGAGAGCAATGTGCGATCCAATTAATGTGTAGAACACACATGGGACACCAGTAAAACAAATCGCCATGCTAATATTTCTAACAAAATGTATACATTACTTCACAGGACTCGCCCGACTCTCTCACCCTTTGACACCCTTCACCCGTGCCTTCAGCTTCGCAATCAACACCTTCAGCCCTGCCTCCGGCCCCTCATCCGCAGCCACAAACCGCCTCACCAGGATATTGAACATGCCCCCAAAAGCCAGGGCTATCGCAGTGGACGTGAAGATGATCACGTTATACGGCATACTGAAATCTGGAGTTGGCAAGCTGCACAGAAGCGAAGTAGTACGCAGGGTATACGCCGCTGCTAACTCCTTTCCGCCAGCTTCTTGCCCCTGCGTGGTGGGGTCAAGAATGGTGATGACAGCAGCAGCAACGTCGAACCCACGGTTTGCGTCTGGTGGGTACTCGGTGTATCGGAGGATGGACTTCTCAAAGTCGTAGGTGAGGAAGACGGTGGAGGCTGGGGGAACGCGCATGCGGACTTCAAGTTGAGTGCCGCGGGCGCGGTCGAGGGCGGGGCGGTAGTAGACTTGCTCGATGAGAGAAGAGTAAGACGAAGCCGAGGAGGAGGCGTTGGTGTGGGGCTGTTGGCTGGCAATGCGGGCTTCCATGGTATGCAGGTAGATGCGCATGAACCAGGGGAGGGACTCCATATAGATGAATTCCACCTCTGTGTCGGGGCTGGGGTTGCGCAGGATGGTTTGCACACCACCGCGTTCTTGGCCGTGGCCGGTGAAGCTGCGCTCGGCGTAGAGTAGAGGGGTTTCGGCGGCGATGATGCTTGTGGACGAGGAGGCAGCCTCGGCGTCGTCGGGGCGCGGGAGCATGAGCTCCATGTCGGTCTCGGGTGAGATGTGGAAGCAGCGAGAGAGGCCGTCGGGGTTCTTCTTTTCGTGCACATCCTTGGAAACGAAGACGCTGCGGGAATGGTGGACCTGGAGGCAGACGGGTGGGACAGCCTCGTCCGCGAGGGGACAGGTTCCCTTGACCGTCTTGCCGAAGATCTGGGAAAGTGTCCACTCTTGGTTGGTGTGGTCTACAGGGAAGCAAGTGTCGTGCGAATTGTAGGGCTTGGAAGCATCACAAGGCAATTGCTCGCTAGGAGGGGGTCTCGGGATAGGGTTACCTGGATACTGTTAGCGACATGTCACAGTGCAGAACGTCGACCAGGTGAATGTTGCATACCCCTTGGCCGTTTCGACCTGTCAATATCCAGCACCATATCGATCGTCTGCTCAATTTGAAGTACACACTCTCCACCAGCTGGGCAGATGGGCCGAATATCAATGGCCATGCTCTGCCACGACGAATCAAACAGTTTGTGTCCATCTAGGAGGGTTGCAATGCCGGCTTTGCCCTTGCACGGCAAGAGCTTTAGGAAAGGGGTCAAGTTCTCGGTACAAACGACCTCGTGTGGCAGGACACCGTAAAGCAGTTGCATGTTGTCGACTGCGGAATGATCGCCTTCGGGCTGGAACGACATCACGGGCCGGGTCGTCCGGGTACCATCGATAAAGTTAAGCGAGGCGCAAAAGAGACCGGACAAAGCGTTCGTCAGGGTCAGCCATTTGTGGTCAGCCCTGGGTCAAAAAGTCAGCCACGAGTCTACCACGACAGAGTATGCCACATCCAGTGCCCCGGGACGTCTTACTCCTCGTTTGTATCCGCCTCTAGCCATGCCCACAGCTCAACGCCCGTCCCGCCCTCGCGCGCCCCATTCCATGGCCGAGCACCCCAAGTCTCCGCATCCCATCGCCCCAGGCTGAACCTCAAGTGTAGCTCGCGTGTACCGGCATGTTGTAGGATTTGTGCGAGGGACCGGGGGAAGAAGCGGAAATTCCCCTTTTCGAACTCGGAGAGGGTCGTGTTGGAGCGAAAATTGAAACTCGCGAGCAGCGAAGATAGAGGCAGTGGCCTCAAGTTCAGTTGCTCATGGTAATCGGAATCGGTTGCGGAAACCGGGGCAGAAAATGTGAAAAAGGAAAGCAACGAAAGCCAAAGGAGAGACAGGAATCGGCGCATCTTTCTTCCTCAGCGCGGCCCGGCCATTGGGCGTATGCAACCGCGACAGCAAGGAGAAGTTGACGATGCAGAAGTCGGGGTCCAGGATGATCGAGTTGGAGAACGCCAGTCTCGAAAGATGACAGCGGGCCGCAGCAGGGGCTGGACGCGCGAAAACGTAACCTGGACAGGGGGTCGCCCACTCTGCGCACAGGCCCACTTCCCCAGCAGCGGAACCGCGATTTGCAGCCTTGCAGCGCGGCTGGAAATATTCCGAGTCAACCTCCAAATTTATCATCAAACTCCCAGAACAACCTCTTCCACGAGCCTCGACCGTGCGCATTTTACGAGACCGTAACACCGATTTGCAATAGAAATCGACGGTCACCTCGAATTGGTCAACCCGCTGATAACTTTTCATCATGGCGGCCGAGCAAAGGAAGCTGCTAGGTACGTCGCAAATCTCTCCTTCGCCTCCTTCAACTAGCCAAATCTATCGATTCCTTCCCACCTGCCCATACTCCATAATGAACGGCCCAGCTAACCCCTCCCAGAGCAGCTAATGGGCGGCGGCATGGCCTCCCGCAGCGCCCAACTCCCCCTAACCGACCCCAAAGTCTGCCGCTCCTACCTCGTCGGCACCTGCCCACACGACCTCTTCACCAACACCAAAGCCGACCTAGGCGCCTGCCCCCGTGTACACTCCGAGGCCCTCAAAGCCGAGTACGAAGCCCTCCCAGAACCCGACCGCAAAAAATACGGTTTCGAATACGACTACCTCCGCGATCTCCAAACCCGCATCGAGTCTTGCAACCGCAACATCGACACCCTCCAGCGCCGCCTCGAAAAGACCCCCGACGAAGTCCGCCAAACCAACGCTCTCCTCAAATCCATCTCCGACCTCGGCGCCACCGTCGCCAACGGCCTGCTCGAAGTCGAGATCCTCGCCGAGGCGGGCGAGGTCGCGCGCGCGTATGATGAGTACTACAAGGTGCGGCACGCGCAGGCGTCCAAGGCGGAAAGGGAGCGGGAGCTGAAGTCGCTATCGGAGACATCGGGGCCGTCGGGGCACCAGAAATTGCAGGTGTGTGATGTGTGTGGTGCGTATTTGAGTCGGCTGGATAATGATCGGCGGTTGGCGGATCACTTTTTTGGGAAGATGCATTTGGGGTTTGCGCAGATGCGCAAGGCGTATGATGCGTTTCCGAAGGAGATGCGTGGGAGGCAACGGCCGCCTATGTCGATGGGTGGGGGAGGTGGGGATGATGATATGGGTGGTGGTGTGCCGACGGGGCCGGGAGGAGGGTATGGTGATGGGTGGAAGGGGAGGGGCCCGAGGAATGGTGGGTTCCGACCACGAGGACCGAGACGGGGGTGGTAGGCTTGGTGTCTGTGTTTATCGGGGTGCCGGGGTTGTGTGCTGTATTAGGAGACATACGAGAGATTGCATTGGCAGGGAGTTCTGGCGTTTTAAATTTAGGGGGGATGTAATGAAAATAGTACGATATCACGGTTCGGATTGGGAATGCAAACGGTGTAGTTGCCCTTCGTGTAAATCATGTCATATCAATTTTGGGTATCCTAAACTCTAGCACGCGTTGCCCTTGAGATGTCAGCCGTGTTTTTGCTGAACGTCTCCCACTACCGGCCATTTTAATCTAAATCATCGGCCCTCCATAATTGATAGTTTCTTGCGTTTCTTGTTTCTAATCCAAAGCTCAACCACACCTGCGAAGGTGGCCCCGCAAAGCACCCTACTTTCCGCGAGCAGTCACCAGGCGTTCCGTTCCAACTGTCTGTTCTCCCCTTCCGAAGAAGCTTCCAATTCCTTGCCCGATCTCCGACAGGCAGCGTCAAAAGGAGATCACCATCTCATGACTTCTAATCCTGGCTGGTATACCATTCCCTCTAGGTTTCTTTGGCCAACGTGGCTTCCACTTCTTCGTCCCATTTCCCAACCGGAGGGGACAGCGGTAGCTCAGCCACTCCGGCTTGTTTGCCCCAGGCGGTGTCGATCTTTTTAGGAGCCGCGTTGGACGACGGTAGAGCTGGGAAGTCTTCCTTCTTCAGATCCACCTTCTTTGGCGGCGCTGGTGCCTGTGCTGTGTGATGTTCGCCGCGTCGGCTGTGATCACCGCCATGGTGTTCCCCATCGTGTTCGTCGAAGAGCGCCCGTCCACCTCCGCGCCCTCCTCGTCCCCTAACACGGCCACGTCCTCTCATCCCCATACCCCTACCCCTGATCCCAAACCCGTCAAACTCCCCTCTCACATCTGCCTCTCCACCATCGCCACCAGCAGAAAACCGACTGGCGCCCAATCCTCCTCTATCACCACCACCACCTGACCTCGCCCCCCGCACACCACCATTAGCCCCGCGGAATCCATTCCCTGCAGCATCCTCCTGCCTCTCCCGTTCCTCCTTGCCAGCATCCCACCCCCCGCCCTCCTTCATCCCCATCGCCTTAAGCTTCCGCTCACGATTCTTAGCACGCTCCACCTCCAGCTTGCGACGCTCCTCCTCTGCCGCCTTACGGCGCGAGGCCTCTTCAGCCCGGCGCTTGCGCGCTTCCTCCATGCCGATCTCGTACGCGACATCGTGTTCCGAAGCGTCGCGCTGCGCTTCCTCGAAACGGCGCGTCTTTTCTGCGGCGAGCAGGCGCATCTTCTCCATGCGCGCGGCCAGTTCCGTTTCGGTGAGCTTTTGACGGGGGTTTGCGCCGGAGGATAGGCGGGCGTGGGAGACGGCTGAGGCCGTGTTGCCGTGGTTGTTCGTGGTGGTGGACTCGGTCGCGGTCGCGGGCCCGGATGGGACGGGGGTTGACTGTGGCTGTTCGGGCTTGTCGGTCGCGGCGGGTGTGTCTGGCGCTGGGGTCGCCGCGGTTGTCGCGATCGATTCGGAGCCGGACGGGGTTTCGCTTACGGCTCGCGAGGAAGGTTTCGGGCCCTTTTTAGCATTGTTGTGTTTCTTAGACGAGCGCGGTGGTTTATTGTTATTGTTGTTGTTGTTCTCCTGAGCCGCCGGTTTGGGAGCATGGCGGGACTGCGCGAGCGATGACCTCGCGGGTTGACTTGGTGCTGCCCGGGGCTGTGGTGCTACAACGGGTGTAGGTTCCGTCGTCGCTGGGGCTGGTGGTGGTGCCGGCGCCGGGGCTGCTTCTACCACCGCGGGCGCATCGAAGACGGGGGCAGTTTCGACGACATATTCCACTGTCTCGTCGACGAGCTCGATGTCATCGGAGAACAGATCGTCGTCGGTTCGGCCACCAAACTGGTCTTGGTCCATGATTGCGGTAGGAATGCTATATAATAATATAATTGATAAGGAATTGATATCTATCCAAAATAGAGGAGCAAGGGAGACTAGGACAGGGCTTTGGGCAAAAGGGTGAAGGAGTCGAAGTGGGAGAGTAGCTGCGTGGAAGAGGACAGCCACGGTATTTGACTTCTTAGCGGGGCATTTGGAGGGGCATGGCTGATGCCCGCCTTGAACCTTTGGCAAGGTTCACCAGCTGGCGACAGGTGTGGAGCAACGCAGCCACTGTTGCATAGGATGCGCCATGGCAACTATTTCAGTGTGACTTACACGGGCAACTATGCACGTAATCAGCTTGCGGTCGGATACTTACGGCATCTCAATATCTCGACTCGCAATGCAGATTTTTATCGAGTTTAACGTCTAGCGTAGAAGCTCCTGGATGGTGTGTTTTAATGAGGCCATATCTTTGAAACCTTGCATTGAAAGGTTCCTGGAACGCATGCATATACATAATTACTATGTAAGTTTAAGAGCTTATTAAGAAAATAGAATCTCGCTAGTCATGGCATCTCAAAATAGATGGTACGAGGTCTGTCGAAGATATCTTTCTTTGTAATTAACTGATTAACTCCTAAAAATTCCTAAACTGGCCACGAAAGCACGCTGCTGTTCCACCCACGTTGCAGCACTCGATCATCCATCCTCCCCCTGCCTTCGATTCCCACTCATCGAGATTTCCACTCATTGATGATGATATCCGCGGCCTGTTCCACACACATCAGTATTAGTATGACTTAACACAAGGACACATATCATCGTTTCGGGCAAAACCATGGAGAGCGAAAAAAAAGAGACTCACCTTCTCGCCCACCGCATACGCCGTAGCGCTCAAATGCGACCCAATCAAGAACGGCATCACACTCATATCCACCACCCTTAACCCCTTAGCCCCATGAACCTTCAAGTCCGTCCCAACGACCCCTCCCAAATTCTCCGGCAACATAGCCGCCGTGCAACACGGGTGCATGAACGAAAGCACGGCCGACGAACGCACATACTCATCCAACGTCTCGTCATCTGCAGCCACATCCTTCCCGGGCCCAATCTCCTGCACCCCCAGCGCCGTCAGCGTTGGCGTCTCGACCAACTTGCGCAGGAATCGCACATGCGCGCGGTGCAGGTCAAAGTCGACTGGGTTGGACCCGGCTCGGTAGTCCAGCACGGGCTGGGCGAGATGGTTGTTCTTGTCGAGCCTGACAGTCCCGCGGCTGAGGGGGTGGAGGAGGAAAGAGGGCGCTGATACGGTGGCTTGGGAGGTGGCCCAGGGTGATTCGATGCTGGGCGCTTCCGGGTTGGAAAGCAGCTTGGCAAGGGCCGCGAGCTGAGCCGAATACCCGGCTGCGATCTCGGGGATGCTGCGAAGGTCCGCGGGGAGATAAGAGGTGGCTGAGCCGTCGGCGATCATGGCGAGGATCTTCTTGGTGATGTTGGCGTGGTTGTCGGCGAGGTGGGGGAGGGAGACGAAGATGGCAGAGTTGCCGCCTGCCATGGTGTACGGACCCCGGGCAGGGGTCTCGTCGAACCCGGCGGTAGCGTCAGCTTTGAGGGTAGCGTTGTTGACGAAATCGTTGGGGAGCGGCCAAAAGTCGTAGGATTTGGTGTAGGACCACGTCACCATGGGCCCGGAGTGGTCTTGGAAGTTGGACCCAACGCCGGGCAGGTCAAGGGTGAGGGGGATCCCGGCATCGCTGAGGACTGCTGCCGGACCGATTCCGCTGCGGAGGAGCACCGTCGGGGTGTGGAGGGCACCCGCTGACACGATCACCTCGCCGTCCACAGTCACGTTAAAGAGGTGGCCGTCATCGAGCGACTTGGCCTCGACAAGCGGCGGGCCGGAGTTTGGTCCGTCAGGGTACACGACGCGAACAACCTGGTGCTTGACCAGGAGGTCATAGTTCGAACGGGGCTGCACATCAGCGTAGTGCCCCAGCCCAGAGTGCGATCGTCTCGCCGTTACTGGGTGCTGTGAGACGGGCGCCCAACAGATGCCGTCTTTGTCGCCGCTAGCGCATTCCTTTGGGCTGGCGAGTCCCATGTCGCGAAAAGCGTCGGTGCGCACGGAAAGATCGACCCATTGGTAGGCTGGGAAACTGCTGTGGATTGGAGTTGAACCACCAAATGCTGAAAGGTCCCAGGTGTAGTTGTACTTTTCAGCAATCTCAGCTGGGGGCTCGGTGAAGGTCACGCTCTGGCGATGTTGTTAGTATCACTGGTTGGTTTTCGTGGGGTACATGGCAGTAGCCTTACCTTCTTGAAGTACGGGAAGATACCCTCCCAATCCCACTTGATCGAAGATTGGGCAAACTCGGGACCGCCAGCTTCTGTCCAAGCATCGTAGTCATACTGAGACCCACGATCGAAGAACATGCCATTCACGGCACTGCTTCCGCCGACGACTTGGCCGGCCTGGACGAACGCAGTCTTGTTCCCGAACTCTAGATTTGGGACCGAGTTGAACGACCACGCCGGCGCCGCATCGGGGTTGGCTGTGATCCAATTCGTGGGCGGATCAAAGGTACCGGGGGCATAATGAACGTCGCCATACTCGATAACCAGTACGGTTTCTACGGGACATTATTAGCGATGGGCAAAGAGATACAACGTCGTGGCGTTGCGTTGCCATGATGCTCAGATCTGAGGACGTACTCGAGGGGAAAGCCTCGCTCAATCGGTCGGCCACGGTAAGCCCGCTCGTGCCGCCACCGACAACGAGGAAGTCATACCGGTCCCGAAGTTGCGAGACTTGGCGCTTGGCGTGGGAGTTGCTGGTAGCACTCGTGGCCGCCACAAGCGAGATAAAAACGACGCCGCAAAGACGCATGATGTCCGATGATGTCCGTCGTTCCTTGTGTAGATGATCCAGCAATTGGACAAACGAGACGAAACACACAACAGCAAACGCTATCCTTTTTCACGATCAATTTCTCCCCGCACACAGGGACAAGCACCACGCTTTTTCAACTCTCGGCTCCCCGGGCGACCATCACGAGTTCGTCATGGCTTGACCCCCATTCTTGGGTCCCATCTCCGCTTTCCATCCCCTTTAGTCAGGTTGGCTTCGGGGCGAAGCGAGAGCGGGAAGTGGATGGCGCAAGGTTGTCCGGCAGGCATTCCGAGGTTGTGTGCCCGGTAGGATTGATTCGCGCGGCTCGTGTTCTGCGCGCGACGGAATTCGGCAGGGGCGCTAACGGGTAATCAAAAGGCCTCGTCGCAATGCTGTCGCAATGCTACCAAAACCACATGGGCCGTGGAGTTTTCATGGATTCGCCCACACGGCTGCGCCGGCCCAAGCCAGTGTGATTTGTCGAGCTGGACATGTGCTGCAAGAATCCCTGTCGCGTTGCGGGGTGTTGGATGAACTAGACCTGGGAGCCTGGGAGGGGAGTCCTGAGAGTCGCACCGAAAGCGAAGAGCGAAGAAGAGGAACACTGGAGTCTGGGACAGAGAAAACAAACAAACATGCTATTGGGGATATTGTAGTGTAAGAAAAAAAAATAGAGTCGTCAAACATGAGGCGGGAAAAATACCCGACGAATTACCCTGCTGTAGGTACTCGATTCATGCTGTCAACAGACCCCCTCGACGACGCGGGCTTGTTGTCATGATGCCCAGGCCCCTCCCTCGTGGGTTCCCTGCTGGCCGCTTGCCCGGTAACCAACTCCACAGCAGAATCGAGATTTCCGGGCGTCGTTTTGCTGAAATTACTCCGATGCGAGACCGTCAGCGTCGTCCCCTGGGTCCAGGACAAGCCGGACTCGACATGCACTGACCCCCGCCCCGCCCGGGATGCAGCTCCTCGTCCAAGTCGGAAAATGTTCAGGGACATCGACCCGATGGTTCTCGGCCGGTTCGACGGGTCCCCCGTGGTCTGCTGATTCTCCTGCGGCTTGATGCGGTCCATCATCGGCCCAAAGACTTTGGCGAGGAGCGGCCGGAGGGTGGGCATGCAACCACACACGATTGCGGCGTTGACCTCGGCCGTGGACCAGTTCGCGATGGTGACAATGCCCCATGTCTTGTCGCCTGGGTGGTACAATTCGTTGAGCCAAATGGCGCGTAGCACCGAAATGAGGCAGACGCTAAGGGGAGCTGTCAGCAAATTAAAGCAGCTAGAGGAAAAGGGAAAGAAAGGACGTAAAATTAAACCCAAAAGAAAAGAGGATGCTATTTTTTGCAGAGGGGTAGTAGGACAAGGCAGAGGGGCAAGTAAGGTAGGGAGCGCCAACTTACAAGGAGCCAAGCGTAAACACGGCCAAAAGACCCAGTTTCTGTCGCAAAGGAATGGTCATGCCCACGACGACCGGGATGGGGATCCCAAAGATCATGAAATCGGTGATGATGTGAATGTACGTCAAAGCCCACCACACCGTCACGGGGTGGCAGTACCCGTCTATTTCCGGAAGCCACTTCTTCTGGATAGGGACGCACATGGTGAGGTACATGGCGATGGCCCAGGTGTTGTAGATGACCACGATGCCGAGCGCGCCCCAGGTCACTTTGCGGATATAGTCGTGTGTCAGGACGCGAAGGTACAGCAGGAGAATGGAAACCTTGGTGAAGGCCAAGCTGAGGTTGTAGAAGAGCGTGCCGATCCACGACCACTGTTCCTCGGAGGTTGGTTGTTGTTAGCAATCACGTACGAATACGTGCTGGGCGTCCGCCGAGCCTTCGGTTTTCCCTGTTGTTTTTGGGGGAGTTACTAACCTTGAGATACGCCGTGTACTCTTCTGATGGCCCAGGTGGGGTATGTCGCCCAAGGCCGTTTTCTTCTTCTAAACAGGGTGAACAAACACCGGTGAGTAACCACGACATGGAGTTGAGTGTTGGGGAAGATACAGTAGATAAGAAGCATCTTCTTACGGAGCACCATAAAAACTCCAAACGCGATACCCGCCACCTGTAGAGTAGCCCAAAGGTTAGATTTAAAGCTTCCCAGACCTCCCATCTCAACCCCCAGGAGCCGGACTCTCGGCGTACCATCGAAGCCAACATAGTCCAGTCCTCGCTCTTGACCGAGCGCAGCAGTTTGATGCGGACATAAAACCGCAGGGCGACCGCCGTCAATGAGAAAAACAGCATGATGCCGACACAGATGAGGATGCTCTGCGAATTCCGCGCGTCTTCATCCGCGAAATCGGCCGGGTTGGGCGGCGGCGGGCCAGGCGGTGGGCCATGCGGTGGTGGCCCATCTCGTGGGAACATCATCGGCGGTGGTGGAACTCGAGACGAGACGGGCCGGCCGTGTCGTGTCGTCAACTCGGCCGGAGCGCCGCCCGTGAATATTATGCCAAAAATGGGCTGAAGGGCGGGTGGCCGGGCACTAGATCTTAGATCGATCGGGTTCAGGTGGAGGAGCGCAAATGCCAAAAAGGACGAATCGTATCGTACACCGCTAATGCGAACACGAGAAAACAAAAAATGGGATGGAAAAGATTAGACCGTCGCAGACAGTTATTAGTTGTTTATTGTTTGGTGATAGATGGGATTATTTCGTCGCATCCCAAGAGGGGAAGCCTTGAGGAGAGAAAGTTAATTCTTCCTTCAACAACTCCGTTCTCCTTCTCAGACAGACGCGACGGGGGGAGCGATCTTTTTTCTACAAGCACCATAGGCGGCCGAGGTGTCATCCGAACCCCAGAAAAACTTCATGCACGCGACGGTCCCAACAGCGACGCTATGTACCGCTTGATGCAAACGAAATAACGAGCTCGCAACTCAGACTCGGAACCAAATTACTCTATTGGTAAGGCTGCAGTGGGAGCTGCAGCCGGTTCACGCCACCCGAAAGCCCGGATCGGACTTTGATCAAGAAAGAGAGAGAGAAAAAAAAAAAAAAAAAAAAAA